TGCTTCAGTGTTAAAATGTCTTGTGGTAGCCTCAGGTGGGAGCTATGATGTCAGAAGCTTACAAACACAGTAAGATGAATGCAAATTAGGAGTGCCATCTGACATGACTGATGTAAGTAAGTGCAAAGCTGATTGTAATGGCATAAAAAAATCCATAAGTTTATCTGGACTGCAACAACCAGGAAAACATTCCTAGAATTGTGGAAAAATGCCTGGAACAACAGTTTATTATGTTGAAGCATCTTCTATACAAGGGAAGGTTATTACAATTGGGACAGTTTTTTGTTTTGTTTTTTAAAAAAGACAACAAATGGGGCAGGTATGCTTGAGATTTGATAACATTTTGAACAGTATGAAGAGAGAGAAAGTTGTTTTCCTTCAACAATACTAAAACTCAGGGTCATGCAGTGAAGCTGATTGGCAGCAGGTTGAAGGCTTTTAACATGATACATGGTTATGAAATTCACTACCAAATGATTTTGTAAGATCCAGTATCTTAAACAGCTTTAAAAAGTACTAAAGAAATTCTTGGTCACCATATTACCTATCATGCTGCATTTTTTCAGCAAATGGGTCTTTATTTAAGTCGAATTTTTGCCTAATTCTATTGTGTCAGAACATGTAACAGCTTGTAAAGACTGCAAAGCCCCTCTTATTCAGCTTTCTGATGAGTCAATCCTTTTTCTGCATGGAATTGGACTACTGGGGAAGCTAAATAGGTTCATATAAACCTCACTAGCTTTCAGTTACATACTTTTCAGACACAGAAAAGTATAGTAAGAGAGACACAGAGCAGAAGGTGACTTTCATGATGTGTCCTAGAAAGCTGCAAATTCAGCAATGTGTTGAGCGAGTTTTACTTGCACGTTATTAAGTATTGGAAACCTATGTGACTAAGTTCTGTTTATAGCAACAGATATAGTATATTGAAAACTAAGGATTATAGTTTAAGCAGAAAATTAGTTCCTAACTCAGAGCTTTGTTAATTTCAAGTTGTTTGACAAAAAAAATATTAAGAATGGGATTAAGGCTACTATTACTTCATGGAATAATCTCAATTTCAGTGTATTTGTATTGTAATTTTTAAAAACAGGCATGCCTTTAATGCCTTGGGAAGGTTTACAAGGGCACACATGCCTTTCAGTAATCTAATCTATAGACAGGCTGCTTTCACATGATATAATTTTGAAGGCCACTTCTTTATGAGCGAGCTGGCAAAGAAGGCCTGTTTCATATTTGTCAATCAAGACTAAGGACACTAAATTACAATGTTGGTATAAACAGCATTCTAAAACACATTTTTTTCCTCTGGCATAGTGTAAGCAGTTTCGTTGCTTTTAATTAAAGCAACATTGCAATAATCAAACCTCATAATGAATTGAAAATTCAGCATCAAATGGTAGTATTAATAACCAAATAAGAGAGGGAAATGTAAATACAAATACAAATGTAAAAGCTTGTGGAACCATACAACTGATAAATAATTAGCTTTCAGTACTACCCCCTGAATTAGAACATTTTTATGACTCCAACCTGAAACGAGAATTTATGTAGGCTGTTTCTGCCTTCTCTGAGTTACTAAAACAACTTCGTCATTTGGTAATGTCTCAACTTAGTTGTGGTCATCTTTTTTTAAAAAAATTAACTATTTCTTAGTTCACAAAAATACGTGCATTGTCTCTTTTTTCAAGTTGTGTTTTCTACAGATCTATTTCATTTGTTGTGAGACTTCAGTATTGCATACAGTGTTAGGTTAGGAAGAAAAGAGGAAAGAGGGGAAATGGGGAGTGGGGTGGGGTGGCAATGCTTCTATTCTTAGTGTATGTGTGGGGTTTTGTTTCAGCGTCACATGTGGGTTCTCTTACTATTTGCTTGCTGTATTTCCTTGGTGGTGAGAGAGGTTGGGGATGGTCTAGGGTGTGGTTGGTTGTCTTTGGTTGGCTGTAGTTGTGGCCATCTTAAATTTCTTTGTGGTGCTTTATGCACCCCTCATCTAGCCTTAATATACTTTAGTATTTGTCCAAAGTACATTAAGGAGATCTTGTTTTGAACGTTGCATTACTTGTTTTTAAAGTTCTTAAATGCATTAGCATTGAATAGTAAGAAGCATAGAATCATAGAATTGTAGAGTTTGAAGTAGTGCAGGATTTCTGTCCATAGGCATCCCTGGGTGGACTCGAACTACCAACCTTCTGGTTAGCAGCCAGACACACTGACACATGTGCCACAGAACATTAATGATTATTAATGGTATGGGGCAAAAAGTAGTTAATTGTGTGCTGTGTTCTTTAAAGCGTAAAAAAGCTGGTAGGAGTTTAAAATGTTTATATCTATTAACTTTTAATCTGAATGCACACAAGAGTTAAAAATGCTACATAATTAAACCATTTCTTAGGCGATACCATAGCCTATGGCAAGAATGGTGAATCTATTGTTCTTCAAATGCTGTTGAGTCCAGTTTTCCAGCAGCCCTAGATAGCTAGTGGTCAAGGAGGATGAGTTGTAGTCTAGCAACATCTGGAGGGTCACAGGTTCTCATCTCCTGGTATGCGCAGATGACTTTGATTAAAAATAAAAAAAATATTTATTTATACCTGTCTCCTTCCCTGACGGGACTCAACGTGGCTTGCAGATAAAAATAAGAGCTACTAAACACATAGGAAAAAACCATGAAAACACAAATAATTGATAGAATTAAGAATTATATGCATATATAAAATATATTAAAACTGTACTGATAATTATAATAAAAACATCATGGCACCAGTCTTTTCATTATAAGCAATTTGTTTTCGAAGGCCTGTTAGAACAAGGAAGCCTTCATCTGCTGGTGGAAGGAGAACCAGGAGGGAGCCAGTCTATTTTCTCTTAAGGAGTGGGAAGCCCCCAAGAATTCTCTCTCTTGTGACCCTACCAAGCATGCAGTCATGATTGTGAATCATGTCATAACTTTATATGTAACCTAAAAATGAACTTTTTTTCTGGCATTCTCCTTTTAGGGGTTTCTAGCAGTATTTGCAAGATGCATTCTCATGACGGTTTTTTCTAGAAGAAAAGAATCTTATCTTTTGTAGAGGAGACTGCAATCCACTCTAAGGCAAAAATGCTGGAAATAGAGGTAGTAGTGAGGGGAAGAATCTGCATTTAATAATTTTAGTTATACTTAAGGCTTAGTTATTGTGTGTGTGTATGTGTATAGGGGGGGTAGTAATGAAGGGAAGAATCTCTCTCTGTGTGTATATGTGTATATCTATATATATCTATATGGCCCTCAACGTTTGCCCACCCTTGGCATAGCCTCTATTTCTAGTGGGGTCTCCCTTATGTCACATTTTAGACATTTATGTCACATGTATAGAGAGTCATGCACTCACTAAATAAATGAAATATTCTGAGCATCTTAGCTGTTTCTATTTCTATATTATATGATACAAGCAGGATTTTTGCCTTAGAGTGGAATGCACTCTCTATATATGGCATGATTTGTTTTTGAGAAACCTGTGCTGAGTCTTAGTAATCACAGCATTCTTTTCTAAAAGCTCACAGACCGACTTTCTAATTATCTATTCTAGGACCTGGTATCTATGTCAGTAGTTACCTGCGTCTTCTTTCTCCCCCTCTTTGAAGATGGGAACGTTTGTCCACCTCCAGTCCACAGGGACCTTTATCTATTATCCAATAATACTCACAGATTCTAGACAGAGGTTCTGAGATTACATCTGCAAACTCTTTTAGTACCCTTGGGTGCAGCTCATCAGGCCCTATTTATCAATATTGACTATCTTTCACTTACACCAAATTTGTGATGATGGGGGTATGTGGCCGCCAGGCCCATTAGTAGTATGGGAGGAGGGACAGGGATGGCTTGTGCAGCCCTGCAACCTTTCAATGTGTCTTGAACCCACTTCAACCCCATAAGGGCCTGATACAGAGAGGCAGTTATTTGCGTAAATCTGGCCAATGAGTTTTTGGCTAAGCCGTGATTGGAATTGTAAATTTTGTGCCTCTTGGCTTTCAGGTTTTTTTCAGTATGATTCTTTCTCTTCCTCCCTCTTGCCATTCAGAATCTTAAGTCTCTGCAATGCTACACTATTGCCAACTAATTCTTAGGTTTTTGGAATGAGAAATATCTACAGCTTAACTCTTTAAGAAATGTTGGAAGCCAGTAGTTAAATGGAAAACACTTTAATGCAGATTTAAGCTACAAAATCCATAATACGGAAATGCAGAAGTAAAAAGAGAGAGATATTATGTGCAACATAATGCCTTTTTAGGGTCATTATAAAAATGTGTTTGCTAAATGCACAGCTTGAAAAAGAGGATATATTTGTGAAGCTTGTTTTCACCCAAAGTTTTTAATGTTTCCTTTGAATCATGGTAGTTTCTCTTCCCTGTTATAGAAGATGCACAGTCTGTTACTCAGTAACTCTTGTTTTCACATGCTAGACAAGCTTACACAAAACAATTAAGTTGGACTATGGCAGGCAATTGAAAATGGGGTATAAAACTAGTTTTCATTCCACTCAGGCTTTCTGGGCAACATGATGACTTGCCAAAAAACTTATACTAAAATATGCAGTTCCAGAAAATAACCCTGTGTTCTCTGTTGTTCCTAACCTTCTGAAGATGGTATGACAAGCAATTTTTTAATTTTTTGTCATAGTCATATATAAAATGGAAACATACCGTATTTTTTGCTCTATAAGACTCACCTTTTCCCTCCTAAAAAGTAAGGGGAAATGTGTGTGCGTCTTATGGAGCGAATGCAGGCTGCGCAGCTATCACAGAAGCCAAAACAGCAAGAGGGATTGCTGCTTTCACTGCGCAGCGATCCCTCTTGCTGTTCTGGCTTCTGAGATTCAGAATATTTTTTTTCTTGTTTTCCTCCTCCAAAAACTTGTGGTCTGGTGCGTCTTATAGAGCGAAAAATACGGGTAAATATCATAAATAATATGATGGTATTATAGTGTTAAACTGGATGTCTGCTCTATCTTTTTTAGCGTCATGATGAAGAAGCTGTTGTGGATACGGGCAAAATCAGCTCTACTATCAACACAAACTTTGAGAAAGAAGAACTAGAAAGTAAGTATATTTTTTCAGTCTCGTTAGGATTGTTATTTTTCCCAAGTTCAAAAGTAAAACAAGTTAGGATCCTAGTGCTGCACTTGTGTTATCTGGTTTGGCATGGTTGCATCGATGCCATTTGAAGTCATGCCTGGGATTTCCACCTAAGTTGTTAGTGTGCATTGCATCCAATATGCAAGATGAAGTCAGGTACAATTACCCTTTCTCCTTTCTAGCTCTATGCTTAGCCATCCTTTCTAGCGAAAGAGACAGGATTTGAGGTGCTCTGAGAACCTCAAGAGAGCACAACAGCAAAAAAAACCCTCCTGCAATCATCTCCAGTTTGGAGTAGAATCAGGGGTCAGAGAGTATTCCTGCAGTTGTGCTGTGCTTGGGATGTGCTTGTTGAATGGTGTAATGGGTATTAGGATAGCTACTGATTTAAGCGCTCTATGATTTGCTGAATATGTGGAAAATACTTGTACAGTGGTACCTCGCAAGACGAATGCCTCGCAAGACAAAAAACTCGCTAGACGAAAGGGTTTTTTGTTTTTTGAGCTGCTTCGCAAGACGATTTTCCCTATGGGCTTGCTTCGCAAGACGGAAACGTCTTGCAAGTTTGTTTCCTTTTTCTTAACACCGTTAATACAGTTGCGACTTGACTTTGAGGAGCAACTCATAGAACGCGGTGTGGTAACCTTTTTTGAGGTTTTTAAAGACTTTGGTGATTTTTGAAGCTTTTCCAAAACTTTCCTGACACCGTGCTTCGCAAGACGAAAAAAATCGCAAGACGACAAAACTCGCGGAACAAATTAATTTCGTCTTGCGAGGCACCACTGTAACTGGTTGTGGAAGAGAAACAAACTTATACAGGTAACCATGTAAAAGGGAGTATGCTATACATGCAGGAAGAAATCTAATTAAGAGACTTGCACTGTGCAACAGTGAAAGCTGTCTACAAACTCAGGCACACACTTTACTAAGAACACTTCACACAAAGAACTTGAAGATGTTAGTTGGACAGGAGACAATGATGCCATTTTGTGAAGTGAGCATTCATCTAGTATTTGCTTGTGTTATGAAATTTGGCTCCGGATGCATCCTTGAAAAACGATGGCTTGTGCCATCTGCTTTTTCCATGGCATAAGTCCAAACAAAGCTCATTAAGAAGAGGGGGCTGCACTTGACTTTTACTTAGCTTCACTTAGGTTTTTCTTTGCCAGGTGTAACCGTGTTTACATTTAATAGTTCTATTATCTCGAATATGTGATGCTATAAACTGTGTTCTTAATAATAGTGGCAGACTTTTCAATCTGGATTTCTGCTCTTTGACAGCAAAATATTCTTCCGTTTCTCCCTGTATGTAGGTTTAACATGTTAGCATAATGGAGAAATCCTTGAACATGTGTAAGAAAATGCCAAAGCTAGATTTCAGTTTTAAACAAAAAATTGTTTCAAGTAGACTCCATTGAAGCTAGAGTACTATGCTTCATAGTTAATGAGTTTACAAAAGAGGTATTATATATATCTAAATGAATAAAATCAAGAATTAAAATTGTAATATTGAGTTGCCAGAGAAGGTAGAGGTTTTTTTATGAGACGATCCTTTGTTAGCGTAAGAATTTTCTGGGTGTTTTTGTAAAATATAAGATTTTATGTTGCATATTACTAAGTTACAGGTATAATACAGTAATAATATAAAATTATTGGATAAAAAGTAGTGAATTGTTATTTTTAAAGTGTATTCTGATGCTGTGCAAAAATCAGCTGATTTGGAATTGCCTTTAATGTATTTTGTTTATTTTCTACGTATCATAAGTTTTCCATGGTGTGTGGTCTGAGTATATACAGTAGAATAAGTAGCGAGCACCTTTTAAGAAATTTTAATGTGACACCATTAATGACCTTAACTGGTAAATACCATTTGTGGATTTTGTCAACTAAGCTTGGATAAAGTCATGTCTGATTAAACCAAACAACTGTCTCTGGAGCTATGTATACTAAATTTAGTGTCCTTCATTCTATTAATGCTGTTGAGTATTGGATTAAGCTAATTCAGTAACAAGCTTTGCTTGGGATTAGTATGGCACAGCCATTGTGGAAGTGGGGTTTCTGAAGGTCATTTAACAATTCATCTGTATCCTTTGGACTATAAGGATTTTTTTTGTATATGACTTGAGACCATGGAATTTAATGGAATTACTTAATATTTTTACATATGCATGACGTTCCTCTTCCCCTCCATTCCCCCTCTCTCCCACATACTCAGAGACTATATTGGGCATCATATCTTCTTTGCAGTATGCCTCGGTGAAATGTGGAAGTAGTTTTAAGTTTTTGATGAAGGGGATACCATGGTTAATTAGATGCTTTTAATTATTTCATTGTGCCACTACAAAGGGGTGAAGAGAGATCAGGCTGCGTATACAGGCAAAAGGCTCATTTATATCTCAGTTCCTTAAACTTGAGTTAGGATTATCTAAATTCATCTGGAGCATGCCATTCTAGTAGACCTTTCCCCAAGTAGATTTATTTGTGAAGAATTCTTACACACACACACACACACACACACACACACAGCAGTTCCTCTACAGTGTTCCTGTATAAATTTCTTACTTTTCAATGTCTATTTTCTTTCTCTTTGAACTGTGGGTGTGATCAAGTTTGCTTCCTGCTTAAATTGCAGTGAAGTTGAACATCCTGCGTTTGACTTAGAAGCCAGGTTTGATGTCAAACTGCTGGCCAGCTGCAGCTGGGAACAGGACTCTTTTTCTGACCTAGACTTAGTTAAAAAACACACGCCACAATTCAGTGAGGCGAGGCTTACAGCAAGTTCTAAATCACTTGCTTTGAAGTTGAGAAGAATACTGATTTTGACTGTGTTCCAACCGACACTGGTTTATTGATTGTGATAGACATTGACCATAGCACACATGGTCTTGACAATTTCATTACAGGCTTGAGATGTTCGAGTTCAGTGCTGCTTTCCACTCCCTTCTTTATTATTTATTTATTTATTTATTTATTAAATTTCTATGTCGCCCTTCACCCGAGCATCAGAGGGCGGTTTACAACATAAAAACACAAAAATTCATAAACATAGTAACAAAAACAATACCCCCCCCCCAGTTTCACTAGCTAAGAGCCTGTGAGAAAAGGAATGTTTCTGAGGGTGCCAGGCGAGCCTCTCTGGGGAGAGCATTCCACAAGTGGGGAGCCATTGCAGAAAATGCCCTATCTCATGTTGCTGCCCTCTGGACCTCTTGTGGAGGAGGTAAACGAAGAAGGGCCTCAAATTGTGATGACAGGGTCTGGATCAGTTTTTATGTGGAGAGGAGTTCCTTGATGAATTGTGCCTGAGCCAGCACTTTGAATTGGGCCTGGAAACTAATTGAAAGCTAGTGCAGTCGTGACAGGATTGGTGTAATACACTCAAACTATATTGTTCTGGTGAGCAAGCTGGCTGCTGAATTCTGTACCCGCTGAAGTTTCCGAACTGACTTCAGAGGCAGCCCTACATATAACACATTGCAGTAATCTAATCTAGGTGCTACTAGAGCATAGGCAATGATAAGCTATTCCTGTCCAGATAGAGGTGCAGCTGGGCTACTAGCTGAAGCTGATGGAACTCACTCCATGCCACTAAGGCCACCTGAGCCTCAAACTGACGTGTTTTTTTCCTTTAAAAATCTGCATGATTTTTTCCAGATATTCAGAATAGAAGGATGGGGCAAGGAGATCCTGTTTAATATTTCTCCATGTCATTTTGCAGCTGTGAGGCTACTTTTAGTTCAACAAAAACACTGTGGGGGAAAGGGAACATCTTATTGTATCTAGTTTGGGCCCAGTTCTGTATTCAGATTTCAGTAATTGGAAATGTAAAAGCCTGCCTTTTCTGTCTAGAAAATGAAATTGTGGTAGCCTAAGATAGTAAAGAGATTACCAATTATCACATGATTTTCGTAGTATGTGATTTATAAAATAGTGTAATAAAAGGAATAAGTAGTGAACATCTACAAAAATTCTAAAACGACACCATTAATGACGTTATTGCTATGTGCTGTTTGGCAAACTACTGTGGATGTTGCAACAGCAGCTTTCCTTTATCTATTGGTGGTTGGGCAAGGTGATGTTTGAAGTCCTTTACATATCTCATTATTCTGTACCAAATTCATTTTCTGAGCTGGTACATCCTTTAAGCCAGTTCAAACCTTTTCTTGAAAGGGGTCTAGAGATGTTCAAAAATCAGTGAAGATGTTTTTATTTCTATCCTGATAATGAAAAAAGGAAAATCCATTTGTGCCAAATTGGGACTTCTCTGTTGCCTTCAAATTCTTGTAAATAGAACATTATTACAATGTTCCTCAAATAGCAGGATTGGCTCTTTGTCATCTTTTGGATAATTCATGTGTACTGTATAGTACAACAAGTGTCCCAATGCTAATTTAAAGCCAATTATGTTGTCTGTGGTTGTCTGATTGATATGCCTAATACGTTTCATAACATTTTTGGTTAAGGTCACAGAGCTGTTTATATTGGTGTGCACGTCCCCTTTGGAAAGCAGGGTCGACGACGTCATAGGCACCGTGGACATAAGCATCATAGAAGAAGAAAAGAAAAGGAAACTGACAAAGAAGATGGGCGAGAATCTCCATCCTATGGTAAAAAAAAAGATAGTTCTTTCATTGTACTTTAAGCAGCAATATAGTAAAACCCAGTTTTTTGGTGATTTATTTTTAAGAAGAGTAGAATTGACAGAATGGAAGGGTTTTATGGGCATGTTCCAGAGAAATTACAATAGTTAGTTCTCTGTGTTTATGCAATGTTCACAGAGCATATTGCCTCAGTATTATTCTTTATGAACTTTTTACGTCAAGAACTTGCACTCTGTTCTTGTGCTACATAATCTTAAATTATTACATCTGGTCAGTGGCTAGTCAGATTAGATTCAGAACTTTTTAATTGTTTTCTAATATAGGGCCTTGAAAATGGTGGGGCTTCAGAAATGTTTACGTGGCTGCTAACTTGATTTTTGTGTTAAAAACAAGAAATGTACATGACTACAGATAATGAAATGAATGTAAAGAGAGGAACAGAGGGAAACATTGCATAACATGAGTGTTGTAATGTTAAAGGAGGAAGTTGTATGATGGAGAGAGTCTGATATCCATAAGGAAGTAGTTCAGGAATTTGGATTTGTGAATTTCAATTTATTAATGCACTCAAAACTGTAGCAAGATTAAAGCCATATAACAAACTTAACCAAACATTCAGTATCATTCAGGAGAATATGCATTCTGCCTGGATTGTTCATATATGTTTTTGAAATAGTTAATATCCCTGGATCCCGCCCCCCCCCCACCTTGAGAAGGATCGTGTCCAGTTTAATCCATGACCATTATTGTGACTATGATCATGGAAAGACATGGAGCTAAATGTATGTCCTTCCATTTAACATCCAAATGCATTTTGCTCCCTTTCATGCTCCCTTTGCCATTTTTGTTCAGTGGAAGGTTTTGCTAGAAGGTTAATAGGTTAGAAATGAGTTAATCAAAAATGAAAATGCAACAGTACTTGAGTGTTTTGCGCCTTTAAAAAGACTCAAATCAAGTTTGGAAATCCAAATCAAGTACTGGAACAAGGGGCTTTATTTCATTCTCAAACCATCATAATCTCCTTTATCTGTTAAGGATTTTTTTCTGTCTTTCTATGCCGGTTATGATTTCTGTTTGTAAAGAAATCTGTGTAAAGATTAAGTACCATTTCAAATGTTCCTGTATTTACAAACATAGCAGTCATTCTTCTCTCTACAAATTCTGTATATTGCTAGTACACAAGCACAGTTTGCTCAAGACCATATAGTATCTTCACAGCAGATGTGTAGAATCATAGAATTGTAGAGCTGGAAGGGACCCCAAGGGTCATCTAGTCCAGCCCCTTGCAGTGTAAGAATCTCAGTCAAAGCGTATAAGGGGAAGAGAGGGCAGTGTGTGAAGAGAATCATGGTTTAATGTTAATGTGAGCCAGCTTAAAGAGTCTTGCTTATATATAGCCAAGGGAAATAGATTATACATGTGCACCAGTGAGTCTTTGCCTCAGGTATGTTTGGCAATGGTTCATAAAACCTTTGTAAACCAGGGACTAGCACATGCCTGTGCACAAAAGGAGACCCTGATCATGGGATCCATTTGTGCAAGACAGATTCCAGGAGTGTGTATTGTATGGGCACTCTTTCATAAATGCTGCAGTCCGAGTGATCTCAGTGAGACCTAGCCATTGCAGAGTTTCTGCAAACAGTGCTCTGTTTTGTTTCAAATTAGCTGTATGTATTCATGTACATTCATTGCCGATTAAGAACCACTGGAATATGGTTAGCTAAAATCTAAATAATAGATGGTGTTATTTTTCTAGAAAGTTGGTGGTTAAAAAATAACTTCCCTTCCACTTCCAGCATCAAGTAGTTGTCTTTTTGTTTTTAGCAGTGTGGTGGTATAGGTAAGAGTTTAACAATCTAAACCTTAAACTAAGATGTGCCCTTCACAATCTTATTTCCATCAAGACACACCATCCCAGAGGGTACAATTTATCCTGGGTACCGAGGATGATGATGAAGAACACATTCCCCACGATCTATTCACTGAAATGGATGAACTTTGCTTTAGAGAAGGAGAAGAATATGAATGGAAAGAAACTGCCAGGTAACCAATGAATATTCCTCGTCAAATTCTCTCACTGATGATTACAGCACAAAGAGACTTGGCCCTCCAGTTTACATTAAGACAAGTGGAAATCTGTGAAGTCTGTTTGAAGTGCCTGATAAGTATTCCTTAACACCTAAGCATACTTCTCCTAGCTCTGCGGCTGTTGCTACTACTGATTATTTTTTTAAAAAAAAGATATTGCTCACTTTTATATAAGGGTGCTGCTGTCAGGTGATAGGGTGGTTGATAAATGAAGGATAAATGAGGCTGTAATCCTGTACTCTTTTACCTGGGAGTACGTCCTAGTGAGTTTAGTATGGCTTTCTTCTGAGTAGGAAAGAATACGATTGTACTGTAAATATTTTAATAAAAGCAAACACTTAAATTATAGAATGTATGGAAAGAAGATTCTGAGAAGCAGGGCCAAATGAGAGATTTTATGTATTCTTATTTAGTTCTTTTTGTTGTAAATTGCCCTAGGGCCTGTGCAAAGAGCGGTATATCAATCATCTAAAGAAATACATAGATTGTAAATAGCAGAGTTTTTAAAAATCAAAAATAGTTTTTATTAAGGTTTTTTTGTGTTTAAATAGCAGTATTTTGAAAAATAATGACTTGTTAGTGTGCATGTAGCTCAGTGTATTTTCGTTTCAGATGGCTAAAATTTGAAGAAGATGTTGAAGATGGTGGTGATAGGTGGAGCAAACCTTATGTGGCTACCCTGTCTCTGCACAGTCTCTTTGAACTGAGAAGCTGTATCTTAAACGGGACAGTCATGCTGGATATGAGAGCCAGTACGCTGGATGAAATAGCAGGTTACAGCCAATTTTCCTTTAAGATTTTTAAAATTTTGCTTGTGTAGATCTAGTTCTAAAACAACAAAACAAAGCAGTTTTTCAGTTATTCTGTCTAAGAAAGAAACACGATAAAGGCAAAAAATACCTACCATTATACTTAAAGCTTGAAGTTAAAAGTCCTGCTGATTAACTGTTTCATTAGCAGATAAGGGCCATGCTAAAAGTTGTACTTGCTTTAATTTTCTGTAGCATAATGTCGTAACACAAAAAATTCATTTTATTGCGTGTGTTAGCATAAATCTTAACCAGAACCTCTCCGCAACTGGGGGAGATAACAAGATGGTTCCAGCCTAAGGGTTTATTGCAGGGCTTTGTTACTTATTCTGTCACTCTGCTACATATTTTGTTGGCAGCAGTTTTAAGTTTTGGGATTAAATCTAAGCAAAAATGTGCCTCATTCAGAAGAAATCTGGACATTTCCAAATAAGGACCACATTGTATACAGTATGATTGCATTTTGTGCACAATTCACTTGCGTTATTTCAACCTTGTGCGGTTGAAAGACAGCTGGTTGAAATTGCACCAATTAACTGCATGCATGGCGGAGAGCTTAAAAGCTCTTTTTGTGCTGGGTTTTGCTGGCATGGAAAGAGCTTTTAATGTCTCTGCCTTGTGTACTGGGCAAGTTCTGCTCAGCGCATGGACTCTGGGATGCTATCATGAGATCTCGCAGGAGCTTTGCATTGTTTAGCAAATGCTTGCTTTATAATCTTTAACCAGAATCATCATTTACCAAAGGAAAGTCTTACGGATTGCTCTTAATGTGGAATTTGACTTAAATCAGATTCAGGAGGTCACTATATTTTTGATTTAATCTTTTTCTCTCTATAGATATGGTATTGGATAACATGATAGCTTCTGGTCACCTGGATGAATCAATGAGAGACAATGTCAGAGAAGCTCTTCTGAAGAGGCACCATCATCAGAATGAAAAAAAATTCACTAATCGGATTCCCCTTGTCCGATCCTTTGCAGATATAGGCAAGAAACATTCTGACCCTCTCTTGCTTGAAAGAAATGGTGAGATAAGTCATGGCATTCAGTTTGTTTTAACTTTTAACAAATTTAATGCAGAGATGTGAGAAAAGTCAGCACACTGGAAGAAAACAAGTTCATAATTCAATCCTGATATATAAGGAGTTGAGTAAACATTTGTCTGTAGAATTAGTGACTTTGTCTTCATGCCTTTTGATCTGTAAGAGTTGAGAACTGTGCTTACACCACTGGATATATGGATAGATGCTTGTGAAACCAAGGCTTATGAATATTGTGTCTTGTTTTATTATGTACCTCCTCTATTTTCTGGCTCTTCCTGTTTTATGCCTATGCTATTGAATTTTATAATAAGTCCATTTCTCTTTTAGGAATAATCAATAAATGATATTTTGGTGAGGAAAACCACACTGTTTTTTATCTAAATGATTGCCTTGGTTTCTCCTGTTTGCTATTCTCTGTATGTGCATGTGTTTATATTTGCTTATAATATAGAATCATTATAGGATATTCTGATAGTGTGCTTTTTATTTACTGAGTGTCTCTCACATTTGGTGTTTCGTTTCTGTTGGTGTGGTTTCTGATGCTAAAAAAAAATAGAGTCACTGCTCAGGTAATTTCAGGTAATCAATGTGTATCTCATTTTATATTGTTATCTATACTCTTAATTAGAATTATCACATATTTGACTTTTCATGTATGTATATTTCAAATTGCTGATTTTGATAAAATCTTCCTCTAAAGATATTGAGTTTGGTAGCTCCACAGCAAACTGTTGCATTGTTATTAGGAGCCTGTAATCAGTACAGAGTCTTTTTAGGCCCTAAACCTAGCATTTTTCTTCCATACCTTCGTGTGGTGACGTGTTTTTAAAGTAGGAAAAAGAAAGGTTCACATACTGTTGACACCCTAGGTCAGGATAGTGACTGTGTTTTTATTTTGCATGTTGTACTTCAGATACTGTACTTTCTTGTTTTTCCCAGAACTTGTTTTGCAGAAGGTGCTTATATGTCTGCTTTAATATATATAGATTCCTTTATCATAAGCATAGCACTTAGATGTTTTGCTCAATTCTCTCGGGATCTTAAGCAGTCAGCAGTAATATATTTCTCCCTTCCTTCCTTACCTTGTAGATATGTGTACATATAAGCTGACTTTTTTAACATCGAAAATTCTGCTTAGCTCTTACGTTTTGCTTAAGTCTTATCTCACCTATGACTGAGTGATGTTTTGTGTTTTTAGAGTTTTGTTGTATAAAATATGAATAACTTGTCTTCCTGCTGAACATTTTTTTTTATCACTTTATTTGTTTTACCTCAGGGGAAGGCCTTTCAGCCTCCCGCCACTCTTTACGAGCTGGTCTCTCTGCCTCAAATATTTCCCTGAGAGGAGAGAATCGCTTATCCCTTCTTCTCAATTACCTTCTTCCTGGATCTCCAGCCGTCTCAAGGAGCGCAACCCCTTTACCTACCCCACAAAGCACTCCACCTTCCAGTCCTAGGTGCGGTCACAAGGGAACCACAAATTTACCACCAGCTGAGCACCAGGGTGCTGAACTCCTAGTGTCTCCTTCTAGTGATGATATCCCTAAAGTAGTAATTCATCCACCTGAGGAGGATTTAGAAGCTCAGGAAAGCGAGGAGAAGACGACAGAGGATAATAGTGACATAATACCAGGCAACTATTTGAACTCAAATTGTCCATGTGTGGTGCTTTCTGCAGCTGAATCACGTCCACTGCAAATCACACAGCTTGAGCAATCATGAGTTGTATATCAGTCTGTCACTCGTTTGCATGCTTCATTTCTTCTTGTGTGATATTTTCTTGTGTGATACTTTAGTCAGTATTATGAACTGGAGTTGACACTGAAATATTAACACAAGTATTAACACATTGAAAGCAATGAAATATCTGAGTATTTCTCCATACTTTTTATGTTCATAACCTAAAGGAGTTCATTCAGCAAGTGCTTCTGCCTTTAAAAAATAAAGAAAGAAACAAGCGAGTTATACATTATAAACTTGAAACTAAGATACCAAATGGTGGCCTTTTACTACTTTTTAAACCTGGTAATTTATAGTAGGTGATATATAGTTCAGCACCAGAAGATGCCAGTTATCTTAAAAATTATGGTCTGTGCTTTGAAAACACAGTAACATGCTGTACCCAACTTGAAATTCCTACTTCAGGGTAATAAACCAGTTCTTTCCTGTTTAATTTGAAAAGGGCCACTTTAACTGTAGCCAGCCCCCTTTTAGGAATTGTAACAAGGAGAAGCTTGTGCAACAGCTAAGGGGGCATTTAATTTTTCTGAATTAAATGGGTAAGAGCTGTCAGTTGCTAGTGTACTTGAACTCTAAACTCCATTGGTTACAGCAACACTTTATACCCGTAAGATTGATGTGGATGCCTTTTGCAGTCCTCAGTGTTCTGGTCTTATTCACTTCATGCGTGAGACCTCTTGCATCAGTCTCCTGTTCTGCACAGTAGCTTTTTGCACAGAGGTTGAGACTAGGAAGATTGACTACTCTAGCTAGGAGCTTAACATCTGATTATGTGTGTTGGTGTACAGCAAATTATTTTTTCAGGCTATTGTAGCAATCAGTTGTTTTAAGACCTGCGATGTAAATGTAAAGCACGTATATATTTAGGGTTAAATGCTCTGAAAATCTTCGAACTGCAAAGTCGAATGTACTTTTTTTTTTTTAACTTTTGACAGAAGTAGGTCCCCTGCAAATATGGACTAAACATCTCTCTCTTTCTCTCTGACTCACGTTTTGTTGCAGTGCTGTGTAAAGTGTGACGCAGCTTGAAGATGCTTTGTAAGCCATATCCTGAAATTATTGCTTTTCTCTGAGGTTGTTTTATTCCATTGCTTTCCTTTGTTGCTCTGTTTCTTGGTTACTGTCATCTGGGGGCACTTTGATATATTAGATTAATTTAAACTTTGAGCTTTCTGTTATCTCATGTGAGAAGATACGACCATTGTAGATTTTCATGGAATTGTGTCTTTCAGTAAATAGATAATCTGCTCTGCAGGTATTGGTACTGTCTGGGATCAGACAACACACTGCATAAAACAGTCCTAGCTTTTCCGAACTTGGATTCCACTAGAATAGGATGCAAGGGAAATAATGATAATTTAGTATGAAGTAGTGTAACTAAGAGCGGGCAAGCAATTGTCCTGGAGTACATTTGCTTGCCTGCTCTGCTACTGCAGAGAAAGCCTTCTCTTGCATTCCCAACTTACAGCGGTAGTGTCTTGCAGAAAACACCCTCCCACACACACACTCCAATTAAGTGGGAAGCCTTGTATTGGAGAAATGGGTACATCAAGTTTCCTGGTCTAAACTAATTAGGGTTATAAAGAAAATAACCAGCATCTGGAATTGAGCTTGCAAACAGACTTGGAGCCAGTGAAGTTGATGCAACAATGCAGTAATGCGATACCATTTACAAGAAAGAGCTTTGGTTGTTCCCACCATAATGATGCTGCAGGGGTCCTAATCGACAACCTCCAGTGGTGTTTCTGTAGATGTTCAACATGTTGGGGACAAGTTGTTATTCTGTGGCTCACTGTAAGCTAGTGGCCATGGAATTGAGCAGTACCCCTCAGATACCACCTTCTGAGACTTGTCTGCTAGAAAGGACCAGGAATAATGTAAAGCAGTGTCACCAGCCCCAGAAACATAAAAAGCCGCTTGAGACGTTAAGCAGAACCAACAGGACCACACTTCTCTTGTCTAGTTTCTGATATACTGGGCAATCCTGTTGGAGGGCGATAAGCACCATCACAGTTCCAAAGCAGAGTTGGAAGCAAGACTGAACCAGCTGAGGCAATTTCTTCTACATTTATTTATTTAATGTTCCTAATGTGGACTGTTTGTTTCTGCACAAAGAGGAGGGTTTTTTTGCAGTGGCTTATTGCACTCTGTGTTATATACCAGCTCCGTGATTCTGTGATTTCTTGGTAGCCCCATCTGCATCTTGTCATGACTAGGCCAAGGTTCTTAAAAATGCAGTTTTAAAACCATGTATTTCATAGAATATTGCAACAGAGGTAACATATTGTGTCTGTTGTCCAAAATGGTGAAACAACAGTTCCAAAATAGTGTACAAGACTAGATGGTAGACAAAGCAGCGAAGTAGAAAAGAAAAGAAGTTGGCATTTTGTAAAGAGTTTTAATTAGTAGTAGTAGTAGTAATTTTAATAATAGTAAAATGTGTATACCACCCTTCAAAACTAATGCAAATCCATTGATTTTAATGGGTCTGCTCTGAGTGTAATTTTATTGGATACCACTCTGATATTTCTTTAAAGTTTATAACAGTTCTTCTTGCTATTGGGTTTTTCCCTTAAAATTGGTTTGCCACCTTGGGAGCAGATGAAACTGCAGTGTTAACTCCAAATAAAATTGGTTCCTCTTGTTCATGTGTAAAATTAATTCTTAGGATCATGGGTCACATCCTATTTAAAATATGTTCTTGCTTTAGTGTTGACTAATGGAAGATAGATGTAATCTTGGGGCCAGTCTTGTAAAAAGCTAGGTGTTCTGCTAGGTATTCTAAAGTATGTTTTTGTGGTTTTTCAGACTCATAGAAAGTATGACATCCCTCTGATGCACGATCCACACACAAAGCATTGGTGGTTAGACACACATTCTTATGTTCTCTTTTAAAAAATAACACATTTTCGTTCTGGTGCATTTTGCAAAAGGCCATCATTTAGGCAACATCTAATTTCAACTTTTTAACAAGTGTTCATTGTTTTTCAGAAGAAAATAACTTGTTTGTGTGGCATTTTTGATACTAATGCACCTTTTGTTTATTAACTTCCACATTCGCTTTTAGAAAGCTGCCACTGTCATTGTGTAACTAAGTGTTTTCTACTGCTGTAATTTTGAACGGCCCTGTATATTCTGCTTGTAGGACTTCTTGCATCACCACAATCTGCACCCGGTAATTTGGACATTGGAAAAAGTGGAGAACTTAAAAGCAGTGGAACAGGGGGAAGTAGAGAAAACAGCACTGTTGATTTCAGCAAGGTAAACTATGTCATTTAGAGAGTAGAAAGAGAGCTTTGTGAATTGTAAAGCTGTTTATTTATTCTGGGTTTAAGATCATTATTCGTATATTGTTAAAAGCAAAAATTCTAAGTGATTTTTTTGTTTGTTTGCTTATTTGGAGTTACTTGTGACAGCTTTCCAACAGACCTGTAATGACTCCTAGAAAGAAATTAAGAATTATGAACATACTTCCATAATTTTCTGGACTGTAGGATTAGCAGCTGATGTCTGTACATTACTTCCTATATAAATGACCAAGGAAATCTCCTACAGCCACAAACGATGACTATGGTTTTAGTCATGGTTTCTAGTATGTCCCCTATTCCAAGCTGCCTCTTATGCCAATACCCAGTTAATACCTGAACACATTTTGTAGTGCTCCTGGATTGGCATGGCCTCTGCATCACCATCTCATTTATTATTGGCCAGCTGCAGAAACAGGGTAGAGAACTTTTCCTGGAAATCTCTGGCTACATTTGGTGTGCTTGGAGATAGCAAGAGTCGTGCAGCCTTCTGGATGATTTTGTTTTCCAGCCACTATTCCCTTATGCCTTTTGTAGCAGGGTTGTACCCTACTTGGTCTCAGTCCAGTTGCGGCAGTGGAAGCCTGATATGTGCCAGTGCTGCTAAAATCGACACTTTAGGACTGAGTTCAAGTGTGCATAACTGAATCCTTTAGTATTGGAATGAATGCTATCTTGCAGTGGAGGTTTTAACGCGGTGTATATTTTATTTCCTGGAAACAATATATGAGCCTACATTTCTGTTGTTGCTTGAAGCATTTAAGGCTCTATTCCTCCTCCTAGTTTTCTGTATTTAAACCTGCAGAGGGACAAGATTGCATCCGTTTGTTTTATATAAATTCAGTTGAGCAATGTAATTACTAATTTAAAAGTTGTCTGTGAATGTGCATCTTGTGAATTAAATGTAAACGAAGTTAACTTACGTTTTAGTTAATCATGGCAGATGCCACTATTCCTGCTCCTCTATCACAGTTTTTGTGTTTTTACTTGGCCTATTCTTCTCTGCACCTGCCTTGTCTCCTGTTGGGCAGGAGTCTGCCTCCTGGCACTGTAGTTGTGGCACACTTGGTGTGGGACTCAAGAGGCCAGCTGTAAGTTTTATTTCCTAGATAGCTGTGTAACTGGTGTCTTAGTTTCAGTGATCTTTGTGTATCTGTCTGTATGTGAACCAATAGTTCATGTGCTGTACAATATGGTGGTATTCTTCTGTAATTATATACACAGTTTGCATAATTAATTTATTAATAAACCTTATATATATATCAATAGATACTTCTCCAAAACTAGTTTTTCCCCTCAGGCTGATTTTATAAAATGAAAGAACTTTGTATATAACTGCAGTGACTTTTTAGTGCTATTTGTAGATACCAATAATAAAAACTGTTTTTTTAAAAAAGTAGCTGTGTTTAAATATTTATACTAAAATATGCAACAATGTGTGCAGATATGGTTACATTATAAATGTATTTCTGAAGCTTCTTCTGACACACATTTGCTCCTGTAGCAACACCATAGTGTTCTGTTCACAACAGAGTCACATACTATTAATCCTAGTTTTAGAAACACTTAGCATTAATCAACTGTAAACTAAGTAGCTATTTTTAATCCTTGTAAATAGGTAGATATGAATTTTATGAGGAAGATTCCCATAGGTGCAGAGGCATCAAATGTGTTGGTGGGAGAAGTGGATTTTTTGGAGAGACCAATTATTGCTTTTGTGAGGCTGGCCCCCGCTGTACTTCTCTCAGGCCTTACAGAAGTTCCTGTTCCTACCCGGTAAGGAAAATCTTACATATAATAAAGCTGGAATTTTGCATTTGTATAATACGGTTTTGACTCTAAGCTTTTCAGGCAGAAATTCTTAACTGAGAAATACTTCCTTTGCTGCCACCTCCTTGTTGTTGTTTTTTACTTTGTGCATCGGTGTGAACTACTGTAGGTACATTTTATTTCATTTTAAAAAAATAAATGGAAATGGTAATCTGCTGCCACTAACTGAGCTAGACACTGGGCAGCCTTCCAGTTCCATATTTATGCTTTCTCACAGCACCTGACATATCTTCACTGATCACTGATGCTAAAAAATTCAGCTTATCGTAGTTCTGATTTCTTGTAGTCTGTTTCATTCTTCCACAGATTCCTTTTTCTTTTGCTGGGTCCAGCAGGCAAAGCGCCCCAATACCATGAGATTGGTCGATCAATAGCAACACTTATGACAGATGACGTGAGTACTAGGCATCCTGTATCTGTTCAAAGTATTCACTTAAAAATCTGAATGGGATCTTCATTCAAGTAGAACTTGGCATGGCTAATGAATATATGGTGATTGAAGGAAATAGCTATGGAACGAGTATGTTTACCATAAGCATGAATTCATGAATGCTGCAGTGAAATGTGTCATGTTGTGTTTTTGATAAATTCCTAAAGCTGTGTGTGTGAAAAAATTACTAAATGAAAGCACCACTTTTGTGAAATCTGACAGCTATATACATCTCATAGTAATGCTCTTAGATTTTTCACTGTTCCTTCCTCCTTGCGTGGTACAATCCTATGCATGTCAGCTACAATAGGACATATTTCCATGTAAGTGTCTATAGGACTATAGTCTTTGTGAACTTTCCTTTCCTTGCTACTCTGAAACTTTGAGAGATGTTTGCTATGTTTAAATATCAATATTATAGGCTTGAAATGTCATTGTCCATGCAAACAGGTGTATGTGTACATAAGCGCACACACATAACTTGTGTCTTGAGCATGCATTTGAATGCTGATCATAGATATATTTGCATGTAGAATTGAGTATAGAAACAAGTTATTTATTTGAGCCTTTTAAAGTAATAACTGTGATGCCTTTCCAGCCTCTTAGAGAAGAATTTCACCATGTCAGGAAATCAAATATAAGTGTGTATATATTTTATAAAGGTTTTCCATGATGTTGCTTATAAAGCTAAAGACCGAAATGATCTGCTCTCTGGAATCGATGAATTTTTAGATCAAGTAACAGTTCTGCCTCCAGGAGAGTGGGATCCATCTATTCGAATTGAGCCACCCAAAAGTGTTCCTTCTCAGGTAAGAACTTTTCTAGTGAAGGGCACCTTAAAAGAGTGTAGTGGTGTGACAGGACATAGGTGGGATATGCAAGCAGCTAAAAAAATGTCAAAACTGCATGAGATACACACAGAATGAAAAAGTGCTGGTTGAAACTGAAAACCACTTCACGGAACTGCTAGCTCTTTTGAGAGAGGTGGCTAAATGTTGGCTCCTAACTTTGAAGGAAAACAGGCTATGTTCAGTATCTGAACGCTGCGAAGTGTGTTTGATTACCCTGAGCTCATGATACAGGATGGATAAAACAGTGAATTGAATGTGTCTAGTTGCTTTAATGAAACGAATTCTGCAAATAGTATTTTTTTTAAAACTACATGGTTTCTGTGTACAGAATTTCTCCCTAGATAATGCCATGCTAATCACCTGTTCTGATACAAAAATAATCATTACTTAGAATGAAGCAAAAAGTTTGGTTTTTTCCTCTTGTAAACTTATCTCCTTGCATAGTTAATGATAGCTAAAGTTTTTAATAATCAGAAGATTTTTCTCTCAGAGCCATGTTAAGTGTTGCAGAATAATTTCTCAGTGAATAATTAACGCTGCTTTTTGAAAAATACTTTTTGAGTTTGGCAGGAAAATAGCATCACATGCTCAGTGTGTAGGCCTTTGCTTAGGTGCGAGGGAGAGAGCTTGAAATTGTGCTTGCTATTGTGGTCTGACCTTAATGCAATCTTTTCATGCATTTCCTTGATACAGGAAAAACGGAAGATACCTAAATTTCCAAATGGAGCTGCTTCTCCAGGAGAGTCTCTTGAAGAAGGCCATCATGCTGGACCTGAACTACAGAGGACTGGAAGGTGTGTGGTGTTTGCTTAAATTCTAGCAATATTAAAGAAGTAGAAATCTAAATCCTTACTGCTTTAGAAATTTGCAGAATATATATTTCATAATGTTTAGTTTCCACCTAATACGTTGGCCTGTTTTAGGCACTTAATACTATGGCAGTATTCTTCAGTATGCTTCCAGGAAGAATAGAGAATGTGTCGATGCCTTACCCAAATTTATTTTCAAACTGAAACAGTACTCAAAGTCTTATGTTTGCCATAGATATGGTTTAAAACCAAAAGTTGTATATAGTGGGCTAGATAGTCAAAACATTTTGTAAAGAAAAACCACAGTGATTTCCTAGACATGGAAACATTAGTGATGTCCCCTATTGTCCCTCTTGGCAGAATTCACAGAAAGGAAAAACTTTCTGAGATAGAAGAAGCCATTTTCAAAGAAAATTCTCTTTGCCAATTTGAAATTTCTCTTCACTAAAAAACAACTGTTGAATATGTATCTGACTACAGATTTACAAATCAGTAAGCTTTATCAAATACAGTTAATGGGTATGAAAAATGAAAGATTTAAGGCGTTTAGATGGCTTTTCACAAAAGTTGTTCATCTTAAACAATTTGAATAACTTTTTTGAGGAACATTATTGAAATGCACAAAAATGATAGCATACTGTACTTTTATTTTTTAATTTAATTACACTCTGTGAGTATAAAAATGTACATAGACACATTTCTTGTGTAATAGTTATTTTAATGGAGATTCAAATGGCTTTCTTTCTAAGAATATTTTTCTGTGACCAAGGTTAATTATTCCCAATATATTTTGAATCCGGTATACCAGTGCTATCAAATGTTTGACGCTTATTTCCATTTTCCTTAAATATTTTGAGATTTCTCTTGATAGTTTCTGCTGCTGTATAGTGCAGTGTTCTTAGTGCAGTGTATGCATACTTCTGATATTACTGTCTTCTGTATATTTTTGCATTTCTTAATATTATTGTCAGCTGCCTTGATCATTTTCATAGCACTGCTAGGACATTTTGTAAAACCTTTAAGGAATAAATGCCAAACACTTTGAACTGAGACTAACGCAAATCTGAAATATTTGGTTCTGTTGTATCTACTCCCATCTGTTAACGAGAGCATTAATGACCACTTTTGTGGGAAGTACAGACCATGCACATGGAGTTTTAATATATCCACAAAGCTGTGGGTTGCATCAAATTATGTAAAAGTATGTTTTGCTAAAAAAAAAGTTAAGAGGGGTGGCTGGTCCATAAGAGCAAATGCAGGGAAACAGAAGTCCTACAGATTTTCAGCAGAAGTTAGATGTAAAATATCTTGATCAATGTTACATTCAGGTAGGGGTACTGAATATTTTCCAAGCTTTTTTCAATGTCTAGCCCATTATACACAAATTATCTGCCAGCATTAAAAACAGAATATCAACTAAGTTTACTTTAGGTACTGAAAATGAGTAGATTAAAATGGTACATTTGCAGTTTGTAATTGTCAGTAGGTTTGGAGTATATGAAATAAGGCTACTTTGTGCTAAAAAAATCTGCACTGTCAGTCTTGTGTATCCCATAGTTTTAAGCGTTCTGGAGTCCTTTAGTGTACAGTTTGACGAGTTTCATCTCACCTATTTAGGCTTTTTGGTGGTTTGATACTTGACATCAAAAGGAAAGCACCTTTTTTCTTGAGTGACTTCAAGGATGCATTAAGTCTGCAGTGCCTGGCCTCGATTCTTTTCCTATACTGTGCCTGTATGTCTCCTGTAATCACTTTTGGAGGGCTCCTTGGAGAAGCTACAGAAGGCAGAATAGTGAGTACAAAGAATGGTAGTAGCCAGGCGTTTAGATTTTCAGAGGCAAGTGACTGTGTTCATTTGTCTCCTTTATTCCTACCTTTATTTGAAGACCTTTAGCCACAGCATTTGATTAGCCTTGCCCCCTATTAAATGTTCCTCAAATATTAACTGGAAAACATGGATAAAAATGTGTGTATGAACAGGAGAAGACGCACAGTTAAGGTAAAAATTACTCTGTCTTGATGAATCGTTTCATGGATTGGAAAACAGCTTGCATTGTCTTTATTTTAAAGAGGCCTTAAACTGGCTGTGGAAAGGCTATTGGATCACCCGACTTGGACCCACCTTGATTTTCTGCTCAAGGCTGATGTTTCGGATAGCTTGGTTGTTTTATTGGGTAGTAGACCTATAAAAAGAATGCTTTTTTAAAAAAAGGTTTTGGAAAGAGAAATGTAGAACTAAGTACTCTGAGCTATCCTAAATGTCGCACACATGTGTGATAAAATCTAGATGGGCACTTTTGTTAGAGAAAACTGTTTCAGGGAGGAATTGTTTGGAGCAGAAAAGTGGTGAAAAGGTGCTGAACCTTATCTCTGTCCACCACTCTTTGCTGCAACTATGCCCAACCAACTTGGCCACTTTCTCCCCCCCGGGTCCCAGATGCATTTCCCTGCCTGGTGGGGGCAGGTGGGGCACTATGGGGTTGCAGTGGAAAAGTAATGTAAAGGGAAAGGGTGAAACACCTTTCATCAGCCCTTCTCTACTCCAATCGTCACTCCTGAAGCTGCTTTCCTCTATAAGAATTTGTTGATGTTTAAATACATATATATGTGTGTAAAATGTTTGGTCTTCTTGAAAATAACTGCCCCACTTTATTTGCAGTTGTACAAATTAACTAAATTCTTAATTGTTTTTGACATTGACTTTTTTGTGACCTTAACCATCCTGTTTTTACTGATGATGATTTAGAATGTATAGGCCATTATAACAGCTGATCTAATGGAGGTTAAAATGAATGGAACACTTAAAAACTGTTTTCACGTAAATATTTCATTAAAAATCTGCCTTCACAGTATAAATGTCTGTAATTTTGAAATTTGTTTTTATATGTATTGAAAATGTTGGTATTGCTTTCCATAACAGGTATTCACATTTTCATACAGTACTAATGCTTCCTCTTTGTTAGACTTGACTTAGTTTTTTTTACATAACTTGAACATTTATATGTATTTCTTCTACATTACTGTGGCCCTTTCAAAAACAAAACAAAAGGCTCCCTGCTGTATTTGCTTGTGGACAATCCACTTTTAGTAACATGGAATAATGAGGTGTAGTAACTGTTAGAAAAGGCTTATAGCATTGGCTCTGAAATACTAGTTAAGCATGTTCTCAAGCAGCTGGTTTAAAAATATGTACCTCCTGCATGTAAATTGAAAAATGCCTTCTTTCTTTTAGCTGTCTGGGATTGTTTGCTGCCTTCAGTTGCTTGGTGTGCATCAGTGAATATATTAAATTAGCTACTGCACACATGTGTTCAAGCACAGTAACTGACTTGTAAGGTACACACTTGTGTTCACACCACTTCCCCACATCTCCAGAGGCTGTCACTTCCACAGTGCTCCCGCTGTTGCCATCCTGCCTAGAGAAACCAAGGTTAATGCATTGATCAACCCAAGACTAGGTCATGGTTAACATCTGAAGGATTAGATTGATCTTGTGCTACATGAAGTGGTAAACAATGAACTTTGCTGGTTGTGGGCCTGCTTTTTAATTTTCTTCTATAACTCATTCATAACAAAAATATTCTCAGTTACCTTACATTTATTCAAGATACCATTCCATATATCATTTTCAGATGGTTCAGTTTTGAGCTATTTTGGCGTATCTCTCCTGTTGAGTTTTAGGTTCTCTTAACGTTAATGGCTTTTAGTGCACTCTTTAGCCCCCTTCAGATGTTTAAAGTGAGCATGTTTAGGAGAGATTGGGGTCACACACGTTAGCTAACAGTGGCTGATGCAGCAGCGTTGGTGGGCTCCTGTTGGTCTCCCATGTTCCCAACACCATGGGGCACTGTTGCTTACTGGGAGGGGTTGGGGGAACTCTGTGATGCAGCAGGTGGCAGTGGAGATAATCTGATACTCCACCACTCATTGCACCATGCTGAGCTCTCTGCACCTTGTCCCTCCCCATCTTGGTAATTGGCAATGACTCATGGAGTTGGAAACCTGGGAGAGCAAGAGGGTCCACTCCTGCTGCTGCCAGCCAATGTGTGTGCTCCGCGGGGGCACAAAGTGCTCTAAAACAAACAAATAAACAACAACAACAATTGTTGTTATTATTTTATTATTTGTACCCTGCCCATCTGACTGGGTTGCCATCAATGCTAAGGAAACCCTCCTCATTTGCTGCTACTGCCATTAGCCACAAAAGGCCTAGGGCTAGTGTATTGTGTTTGCCCCATAATTACCTTAAATAGTTTTGAACACCTTGCAATTAATTACGTAAAGGAAAAAGAGTGTTGCCTCCCCCATGCATTTTTAGATTAGTTTGTCTTAAAGTACCAAAATTAATCTTGTCGTTTCCTGTAAATGGGTAACATCACAAAGGGTGCCGTATTGGAAAACTTGTATAGCCAGACAATTACAGTATGTTGTAATTGAGAAAATGCATTACCAGGTGGGATGATGACTTTCTTCTCCATTTATTCTTTGTGCCCATGTCCCCCCCCCCCATTTATGTTTAATCATCATTGCTGAGTTGCATTCATTCATTGTTGTGTCACGAGAGTTCGAATATAGTAGAGCACATCGTATTCAATTTGGGTACAGGTTTGTTGCAACATTCTTTATACAGGAGAAGACCCTTTATTTATCCTTTTCCTCCCGAATTTGTGTGCTATATTTGTTGACATGTGCCTTTCTTCCTTAGCATGCCAAATGAGTAACTTATTCCCCTTGTTTTTGGATAGTTTTACTACTTTTAAGCACCTCGAATTCTGGCCATGATACTGCTAAGTGACATTTCTAGTTTAAAACTGTATTACAGCCGATAATGGTTATAATGCTTTCATCGTTCTTGCTGCTGTTTATAAATCAATGTGCATACAGCTGAATTGTTGAATCTTATGTTTTGGGAATCACATGTTTCTTTCCTCCCCTCAGAGTGCAATAGAATCTTTATTTGGAGCATCATTAACTGGGATTGCCTATTCACTATTTGCTGGGCAACCTCTGACAATATTGGGGAGCACTGGACCTGTCCTAGTATTTGAGAAAATATTATTTAAATTCTGCAAGTAAGTGAACTTTTATTCACAAGATATAGGTGCATTGCATTTTTTTCTTGAAAGATTATTTTTATATGTTTGAAGCTTGAAGGTGAAAGTATGTATAAGGACACCTAGCAATGTTTACTTCTGAAATTAGATATCTGAATGGTAGCCAGAAACCATTATGCTATGTTCAGTGTTGCCGCATCAGAGGAATCTGAAGTTGACACTAAAGGCAGATAGAATGACCTTTCTGGAATCAGATGCTAAAGCCTTCTCACTAATTACAATTTTGATTCTTTAGACATGAAGTTATAAATGAATGACATTTTATCACCAAAACCTCAAGGTACAAGAATACACTTTAAAAGCGCACACAAAATTATATAAAAAAAAAACATGATAGCACAAATAGAGCAAATAATACTGAAATAGTAAAAACAAGAGAGTCTTGCGCCACCTTAAAGACTAACACATTCATTATGGCATAAGCATTAATAGATGGAGACAGATCGAAACCCAGAATATTGTCAAATTGTGTCTCATGTTGCATTATATTTAGTTTTACTGAATCCATATTTCTTCTTTCAACAGGGACTATGGACTTTCTTATCTCTCTCTACGAACCAGCATTGGTCTGTGGACAGCATTTTTATGCATATTGTTAGTGGCAACTGATGCAAGCAGCCTTGTGTGTTACATCACTCGATTTACCGAGGAGGCTTTTGCTGCTCTTATTTGCATAATATTCATATATGAAGCACTGGAAAAGCTTTTTCAATTGGGAGAAACTTATGAATTCAACAGGCACAATGACCTGAATAAATTGACATTCTATTCGTAAGTTTGGCTTTCTTAATAAAATACACTGTGCTGTACTAGATTAAACTGGTAGTTCATCTGCCTATTTGACATGAGTTATTTCCTGATGTTCTATTGTATACAGCAGAACATGGAAACAATGAAGTTTTCCATGCCCATATTCTCTCTCACTTTCCATCGGTTCTGAGGATCAAAAAACATTTTATTTCTTAGGATAAGAAATAAAATTTCTTGCCATTCTTTAGCATCCAGACCGTTTCCCTTTTCGTTCTCTTTGGCTGCCTTTTAATATTTTAACCATTGAAAAGAAAATGATATTTTCTGGATCAATCTTAGGCTACTTTGTTAAACCAATTTGCTATTCTGTATTTCATACTTTTCAAGCGTTCACATCATTAGATGATAAATTTTCATTTAATTATCATTTTTTTCCTGGTTTAATAATGTCAGGCTAGATATTGTAAATGTTTATAGCAGCAAGATGAAACACACTGATTGAAATACTGAAATTTTAAACTTGTCAGATGTGTGTGTGCAGAGCCTCCAGACCCCACCAATGAAACAGTAGCGCAGTGGATGACAGCCAACAAATCTGTGGATACTATACCATGGTCTAACCTCACAGTTAAAGTGAGTATCTTGAGAGGTGCTGTAGAACTAGTCTAAATAGTCTGAAATAACTTGGCACACATGAGTCTTAATCCTTCACTCTCTATATTGTTGTACTGACTTGAGATCAGGGCTGCCAATTTAGATTCTGAACTGTCTGGCTTTTGAACAATTAATCAGTTAAACTCTTTCCCCACTTAAGCAGATGTCCAACAAATAATTAATCATTGATGGAACAGTAGGCAGGACTTAGGACGATAATTGGTGTATTGGTTCCAAGGGAATGATTCCCTCTGCTGCTTCTCACTTTGTTTTCCTGTTTTGGGGGCAAGGATAGTTTTGTATATTGCAGAAATATAGTATCTTCCAGCTTCAGAAATTGCCAGTGAAAAGTGTGGAGTGGTAGGTTTCCATGTGTCTGAGACCTGCTTTTGATCTTGCCATGCATAGAAGTTCCAGGCAGAGAAGGAAAATATTATTGAGATAAATAATGGAAATAAATTTGGGGTGTCTCATCATGTATCATGGTTTTTCACTACTTAAAACTATTTTTTAAAACTCTTAAAGAATCCATTGGCTCCCCTTGTATGTGTTTTTATAAGTATGAAGGAGGTTCTAGAGGGCAAGATGGGAAAAGGAACATTATATCATTAGATGTTTCATGAAAAGCAAGTTGCTTTATCTGTTATACAATCTTTGAGCTGAAAATTAATCATGGATGATATTTTGTGGAATCCAGTTAGCTAGCTTGCTCTTTGCAGCAGCCTCAACCTAGTTTCTTACATAATGCAAAAATATGTAGAGTATAGAAAATGAAAATGTTCCTGACAGTTCCCCATTTTTGAAACGTAAAGATGCTTTAAGCTGAGTTTTTTGTTCAAATACAATCCAGTTCACTGCTTTGTAGACATGATGAAGGCATAACACTTGATATTTGGGTTGTACGTTGGATTCAGCTGAGCCTTGAGCCAAACTGGAGACATATTTGGAGGACCATGGGTCTTGGATGAGTTGGATACAAACAGTCACAGATTGCTTTGAGTCAGCTTGGATGGCCCAGGCTGTCAGAGGGCAGGGCATCAGGCAGCAAGGAGAGGCAGGCAGGGTGGGAAAACAGCAAGAAAAGGCCAAGATGTACCTAATAACAGGTAGCTGCCTCTTCCTGGAAGAAGGTAGGCTCAACACTATGGCTCCTGTAGGAAAGCCACTTGCAAAGTGGCACTGCACAGGATCAGATCCTCTTGCTTGTCAGGGCTGGCACTGCCATTAGGCCAGGTGATGCCTAATTGTCTGTATTCACTCAGAGTTTGGATCTGCTGATTCCTCTATACATTTAAAGAGGGCAGGTGCAAGTTTAATTGCAATGCGAACAGTTCTACATCTAATTTGCATTTCTGCATGGCTTGATTTACAGCAATGTACAGAACTTCACGGCGTGTTTGTTGGATCAGCCTGCGGCCACCATGGTCCATATTTCCCAGATGTTCTTTTTTGGTCCGTCATACTGTTCTTTACAACGTTTTTCCTTTCCTCTTTCCTCAAGCAGTTCAAGACCAAACGCTATTTCCCCACTAAGGTAATTGTGGTAGCATTTATTCATTTTGAGGGTTTTCTGGTGCATGCAAGTCCAAAGATGACACAGGTTCTGGGTTTAATCAACTATACAACTTAATGGCTCATTTGTGCATGTTAGATGAGAAACTAACCCATTTGAGTAAGTATCCCCCAATGTGTATAGAACTGAAAAGTTCAGGATCACCCATGTAAATGTGTTATATGGGACAAGCTTGTGGCAGCAACTATTGTTAGGACTGATGAGGACGCTATGTTCTTTAATTAATTGTTCCAAAGTTTTGCTATGGAGAGGTGTTGAATTAACCATACTTATCATTGGTTAAAGCTATTTCAACCCATAGTTAATTGTTCTAGTTGAGTAAAAAACCCTATAGTTTCAACAGTATCACCAGCTCTTAGATTCTTAATAGCCAAGCTTTGCATTTGCAATATGCAATACAAAACGGCAGTACCATTTAAATTGGTAATTATTAAAAGATTGATCAGTGATACAAACATAAGAGGCAAAGCAACTTTTTGGCTTTGTGGCACAGTCACACACCCAATGCAGTTAAATTAGATACGAATAGGATTTTTTTGATTAATTGTGTTTTGGGTGAGCACTCAAATGCTAAAATAATCCTGATCAGAGAAAACCACAATCGTGGTGCTATCTTAAGCACATTATCTTAGAATAAATAGCAGCAAAGGCATCCAAAAAATGTAAAAGTCCCACCCTACTTAGTGTTAACTGTTCCTAAATATAGGCATGCATTAACAATAAAGTGGTTCAGTGTTTTATCTTCTGTGCTGACACAAGGAAGATTTCACGTTATTCCTTTTGCTGCATATGTATGTCCTTTTGAAATTGGAGAGGCTGAGTACGCTTTATTATATATTGCTCATTTCTGCAGAAATCAGATTGAAATTGTTAGATGAAATGAGGTTTTAAATGATCTAACTGGATATTTTGTTTCTGTAAATAATAGATATCTGAGGTGTTATTTTTTTGCAACAACACAGAATTAATTGCAAGGAGACTAAGATTAGGAAAATGTTGATTTAAGGTTTTAAATTTTGGTCCTGGAACATCATAAATCTGATTGTTCATCCAGAAGAAATCTCTTCTTGAAGATAATGAGATTCCCATTTAACTTACTTTCAACTTTTAGAGTAAGTTTATATGCTGCTAGGTTTCAGTAAGTATACATCTCAATAATTTGTATTAAACTATTTCCGAATGATTAATTATTTGACAATCCCTGTCACTGTGGCAAATATAATTAATTTGCAAGTTTTTTTTAATTAAAAGCAGTATATTCTTCCTTTTTAGGTGCGGTCTACAATAAGTGATTTTGCTGTATTTTTGACAATAGTGATCATGGTTCTCATTGATTATCTTGTTGGAGTTCCTTCTCCTAAACTTCATGTGCCTGAAAAATTTGAAGTAAGTAAAGTAGTAGTAGTAGTAGTAGTAATAATAATAATAATAATAATAATAATAATGCTGCAACTGAAATGGAATTATTTAAATACTGCTGCCAAAAAGGCTAACCTTTCACTAGGAATCAACTCTATTTATGGTAGTTTTTTAATGAGAGGTCAACCTATTATACTAGCACTGTTTAGAAGCTAGATTGAATGAAGCATATATTGTGACAGAACTGGAATTGACAGATTTGATTTAGGTTTTAGGCTCATGCACTTGAAATTTGACTTTCTTCCACTGTGCTTAGATATGCACAATGATTAGTGCTATAGTAATCAGTTTTGTGTTTTTGTATTTTTATCTTTAGTTCTCATTTTGTTAATTTGGGGAACAGGTCTCATTGAGTGCAGTAAGGCTCTCATCTTGAGTAAATGCTCATTAGCTCACACACTTTTTTGGTATTCTACATCCCAGTAATGTGACTTCATGCAAAGCGGGTCCTACTCCCGCTTTGTTACAGCACAGTCCTGTGCGTTTTTGTGTTAGAGTAAACATGCACAGGATTGAACTGTTACTAAACTTCGATAGTTTATTATCCTGAATACAAGGACATTATGTGGCTTCTGAAGCAGAAAGGTCATGTCAGTACAGGATCATGCCACAATTTAATAATTAAAACTCAAATGTTACACAGTACTACTTGTTTTAAAAATTATTCTAACTAATCTTTTAAATTTTGAATTTTTGGGAAACGTTAGCAAATAGCATGCATACCAACTTCAGAATTAACATACTTGTCTAATAAATAAGGAAGAAGTACTTAGTCCTTTTGTTACCTCTGTTTCCCCCCCAAGCCCACACGAAGTGATCGAGGATGGCTCATAGATCCGCTAGGACCTAATCCTTGGTGGACACTTGTAATAGCTGCAGTTCCTGCTTTACTCTGCACCATTCTTATTTTTATGGACCAGCAAATTACAGCAGTTATCATAAACAGGAAAGAACATAAACTCAAGGTGAAATTTTGATTATGTTTCCTCATTGTAAATACAAAAGTTAACCTAGTTTCTGAAATAGTAACTTCCTCTGTATACTTTGCAAAGGTTTATAAAATGCTGAAGATGGAGGCAAAAATCTTGTATTCAGATAGTGGGATAAAGTTATTTGTAATCAGACCATTTTTTATATATATAAATTGCACCATTTATCCTGGGTGAAATTCTTTTGAAGCCTTAAATGTATGTCAAAACCTGTGATAGTAAGTAGAAGAAACATTGATGGGATAGGAATATAATGGTAAGATGAATCATGACTTACTGGTATTGCAAGCACAGCTTGGATCTCAATTATATTTTGAGCAGAACCTACTTAGGTGTTTTTACTTTTTCTCCATGATAAGAACCACAAATTTAACATCATTGGCTCCTCCCACAATCAAAAATTAGATTTGATTCTGTTGAGTGCTTTGTTATCAGGGTTCTTACTACAATGTGAGAAACCTAAACTCAGAATACGGCTCAACTATGGATTTACTCGTTTCCCTGCCTCCCCATGGTCACAATATATATTTTTTATTAATTATTCTGAAGATCTTCAGTCACAGCAGTGTGTTCTGATTTTCATACCTTTTGGGTTATTTTTATACCATATTGACTTTAAAAAACATACGTTTTGTTACCATGCATTTTTCTTCTATAGACCACTGGATTCAGTGTGTTTAGGTTTTATATGCTAAACATTTTCCATTATGAATATGTAGCAATCGGAATACTCCAGATGTCTGTGTCAAAATTTTTAAAAAGTATTGTTGCCAGAATATGTGCATATTTGCTATGAAACATGTTTGTGTTTGACTCCACAGAAAGGTGGTGGATATCATCTCGATCTGCTCATGGTTGGCATGATGTTAGGTATCTGCTCAATTATGGGCTTGCCTTGGTTTGTGGCTGCAACTGTTCTTTCTATAAGTCATGTCAACAGTTTAAAAGTAGAATCCGAGTGTTCTGCTCCTGGGGAGCAGCCAAAGTTCCTGGGAATTCGTGAGCAGAGAGTGACAGGATTAATGATCTTTGTGTTGATGGGGCTGTCTGTATTTATGACATCTGTATTAAAGGTAAGAAAAAAAAGTTTATTCCATAACATTATGTAGGCTGACATGCTAGTAAAACAGTATTAAAAGTCCCAGTGGTATGGCTTCAATGATATGAACATGCCTCTCGCCATATCCAAACAATCTCAGTAGAAAATCATGTGTTACACATGAAAAGTGTACCTATACTATGTTTTTGTATCTTTGAGAATAGAAACCATAGAATGTCTCAACAACTGCAATTTTGTATTTCTTTGGGTTTCTTCAGATTGTGGTAGGTTGACTTATTGTTAGTTGGGAGTGACGAAGAAAGGAAGGTTTTAATGGCTCGTCCGCTTGTTCTGACGCTTTGTCCTGAGAAAACTGCTGTTTGCGCTGAATCAGAACAGACATTGATTGGTTTTTCTGTGGGCTGACATTTGTTCTGATACAGTGGTAAGCAGTGGGTTTTCCCGGGGAAACTGGCAGGACAAACGAAAAACCACTTGGACCCGTGCCTAGAAAACATAGAAAGCGGAAAATCACTCGGACCCATGCTTTCCTGGCACAGGACAAGCAAACGTGTGGATGAGCCCTAAATTTTCTGTTAAACACACATTCATAGTTAATTGTTGTTGAATCATGCATTTTCCCTAATTGGATGCAATGCTCAAGGCTGTGACTTTGATAAATAATAGCATAAAGATGGTAGAAAATGCATTCACTGATCTGTTAATGAACTTGCTGATCTTTTCCCCACAGTTTATTCCAATGCCCGTTTTATATGGTGTTTTTCTTTACATGGGAGCATCCTCACTAAAAGGCATCCAGGTAAGTTCTATTTTAATCAGTATCTGAGGGGAAAAGGTGAAAAATAGATTCTAAAGCTTGGCATTTCTTCCTAGCCCCCTCCCAAAGTTGCCCCTAAGAGTTGTGGGGGACGCTCATAGCATGGTATTGGAACAAGGAGTTTTGCAGTAGGAGGCAAAAATTGGTGGAAACTGGGTGCGATGGCAACTCTGCGGGCAGACTGAGGATTGCAGGGAACGAGGACACTATTTTTCTTACGCTTATTTGCCTGTTCCCACAAAGCATCAGAAGGTGGCTTTAGCAGGGTGCGAAAGGCATTGGCTTAATGCAGCTTAAAGCTGAGGAGGAAGCGTTCTTTGCATCTCTTTCTTTGACTTGGAGTCATGTTTGTACTCCTCTCCTGAACCAGTCTCTTGAGTACTGCTCACAACCACTTAGATTTTAACAATATTAATGACAATTAATTAATTAGTTTAGAACAGGGGTGCCTTCTAGATGCTGTTCAGCTCCCATCATCCCACCAGCCTGCATGACCAGTAGTCAGGGATAATGTGATACGTAGTCCAGTAACGTATGGAAAGCCAAAGGTTAGGCACTCCTTGATTAGAAATTCTCATAGGATGGGTTCTGGCTAAATCATACTCAGAACAGATCCATTGACTAAGTTTAGTCCATTGACTTTAATTGGTCTACTCAGAGTGTGACTTGAATGCTACTCAGTTTGTTTTTGCAGCTTGGGTAATTCTGTTATCAGTCTAATCAAGTAATGCTTTAAGTATTTGACCAATAGTTGGACAGTCAAATTCGCAACCCTGCCTAATTTTGCAATCCCTTCAATTTATATTTCTGATCATTTTTCTTTCCTAATTTTCCCTTTAGGATGAAAAAAAGTTCAATAACCTTTCCCCCCTTTTCAATTTAGTTTTTTGACCGTATCAAATTGTTTGGAATGCCGGCCAAACATCAGCCTGATTTGATCTATCTGCGTTACGTGCCGCTCTGGAAGGTTCATGTATTTACGGTAGTTCAACTCACCTGTCTCGTTCTTTTGTGGGCAATTAAAGCATCTGCTGCTGCTGTTGTTTTTCCTATGATGGTAAGTAAATAATTATAGTGTATTTGAGAATATACATTCGTGTCAACTTAATATATTAGACAAAGAATTTGCACCATACAATTTTGTCTCGTATAACTCAGTCTATATTAGTTTTGTCCTTTCTATTAGTGTTCTGATCTTTGTGTGATAGCTGTTGTTTTTAAATTGTTTTCAAGGTTTTAGCTCTAGTTTTCATTCGCAAACTTTTGGATTTGTGTTTCACCAAACGGGAGCTCAGTTGGCTTGATGACCTTATGCCAGAAAGCAAGAAGAAGAAGGAAGATGACAAAAAGAAAAAAGCAAAGGAAGTAAGTTTGATAGTAATTTATAACAAAAAAAGAACAACTGAAATCATTGGGGGGTGGGGGCAAGAGCAGGTTTTTCATGGATCCGTCACCTGTATGGTTTTAGAATTTGTACAAATACATGAAAAATGAGTTGCAATTTTACTCCTTTGGGTGTTGTTCTGTAGTGCCCCCAGGCTTTAACAGGCTTTTCAGGGATCTGTGAAGCTGCCACTGGAAACAAGAGCTGAAAAGCTCCTGCGTATGAGTGGAGCAGTGTTCATGACGTTATGAATTATTATTTATTGTATGTCTTGCCTGCCCTTCACAAGTATGTCCCAGTGCAGGTTGCCGTACGTACATAAAAATACAATCAAAACTGAAACAGTGAAAAAGCAACCCAATGCATAACCCCAAAACATAATCAATATAACACAGTGCAAAATGCTAACTGGAAGACGATGTAAATAATACACAGTGCAAGTTACTGATTAAAGGGCTAACAAGATTTCATAAATGTTTCTTTTTGATATCAATAGCATAATTTGTTACTGATTTGTACCCCATTTGATGACCCAAATGGGTTGGGTATTACCCTCTTCATGTCATGGAGGCAGGAGAGCAAAGAACTCTGGGAGGCAAGTGCCAACCCCTCAGTTTTTTCTCTCCTTATCTCCTATACTTCCCCACTCAGCACTGGAACTCCACCCTTTCACCTTGATTCTCACCCAAGGCCCAAACAAACTCACTATCCAATGGCAGAGCTTCCTTTTATGGGCAGGCCCTGAAGTATGATAGAGCTTCCTTTACGTTGTGTCCCATTCAGCAATTAATCAACTGCGCTTTGCAGACCCAATTTCAGGCTACAGCATACAGTGAGTTTCCTGGGGTAATGGAGTGGAGGGGCAAGTGATGGTAAATAGAACTACCTGCTCTCATAGCTCTGTCTCTGGGCTCTGCATGCCACTGCTCTTGAAGATGTGTTTCTCCACTTATTTAATTGAATTAAAATCTCATTTGTAAGCGCAAGAGCAGGAATATTTCCCCTTCCTAAATTCATCTGGACTAAATGCACAAATTTAAAATTGTGACCCAGAAACTTCTTTAAATATGCAAGGGCATGCATGCATTGAATCAAGTGCTGACTCAATATTACTATAAACAAGAGATGCATGATGGGGACTGGGGTCATGTTGGCCAACCAGGCGTCTATGGGAACACTTTCCCCACATAAACATGCTCCTTAAACAACCTTAACCCACTCTTCCTCTAGATATCCCAAGTGATGGGAGAATGGTGGATTAGAGTGGATTAGAGAGCATGTCATATTTTAGGGTTTGATGGATGGATCCCTCAGACTCCCATGGATCACAGCAGATACCCAATTTTGTTGGTACCAGTGGGTTGACAGCAGCTGTTGGCACTGCACTCGAAGGCCCCATACCCTGATATTCTGAATGGCTTATCAGATGGTGTGGGCAGTAGTTTCCAGAAAGAAAGGGACTCAAGCTTCATTACCTGTGTGAAACTCTTTAAATATCCCCTATTCTGTGTCCCAAATATGACTTGGAGGGGTCGGTAGGTGACTGGGCAGGATTCCATGTTGTACAATTATAATGTAGCATTATCCAAAATACAGTTATGGCCACCGCTCTGTATTTAAAGTACATTGAAAATCATACAAGGCCTTGTTTGCATGCCTCATTCTTGTAGAGTAAAATAATTAAATATGTATTGGATAATGTGTAACTTTCAGGAAGCTGAACGAATGTTTCAGACAGTGGACAGTGAAACTATACACCTTCCATATGACAGAGGCGATGTGTTAGAGATTCCCGTGAAAGCTCTAAAATACAGGTGTGATATATACCTACTATTTTTATTGTTTGCTTTTTATATAGCTTTATGTGGAAATTAATGTATTTGAACTATTGTGAATAAGTACTGACCTCCAAATCTGGGATTCAACTGTCTGGGAAAGAGGAACAAAAACACAGACCTCCTTATGTCTACAATATGGTTTTATATATCTATTTTAAATTACATTTTATTCATGTGACCCTTTTGAACAGATCAGATGACTCACTTTCAACCAGCTGTTCTCAGGGTGAAGAAGCTGTTTTGGTCAGTTCTGTCTAGTGTGCTCCTGTGCATGGCTAATGATGTGAGAAGCATTGAAGATACTAAATATAATTTGAGCCATAAATTTACCAGCTGCTTAAAGCCTGGACAGTCTTTTTTTTTAAAAAAACGAAAACAAAAAAAGCTCTATATAGTAATTTCCTTTTAACACAAAACAAACAAACAAAAAACAAACCTTGTGTACATTTAAAAAAGTTGTCTGTGGACACTTGATAATAAGTGGTACCTCCGGTTATGAACTTAAATCGTTCCGGAGGTCCGTTCTTAAGCCGAAACCGCTCATAACATGAGCCGTGCTTTCGCCTCCCGCTGCTGCCGTGCTCCTGGCATGCAACTTCCGCTCGCATCTCAGGGCAAAGTTCGCAACCGGAAGCATCTACTTCTGTAGCCCGAAGGGTTCGCAAGGAGGACTGTACAGTGGTGCCTCGCAAGACGAAATTAATTCGTTCCACGAGTTTTGTCGTCTTGCGATTTTTTTTGTCTTGTGAAGCACGGTGTCGGGAAAGTTTTGGAAAAGTTTCAAAAATCACCAAAGTCTTTAAAAACCTCAAAAAAGGCTACCACACCGCGTTCTATGAGTTATAATAATAATAATAATAATAATTTATTATTTATACCCCGCCCATCTGGCTGGGCCTCCCCAGCCATTCTGGGCGGCTTCCATAAAAACCACAAATACAGTAAAAGTCAAGTCGCAACTGTATTAACGGTGTTAAGAAAAAGGAAACAAACTTGCAAGATGTTTCCGTCTTGCGAAGCAAGCCCATAGGGAAAATCGTCTTGCGAAGCAGCTCAAAAAACAAAAAACCCTTTCGTCTAGCGAGTTTTTTGTCTTGTGAGGCATTCGTCTTGCGAGGTACCACTGTATGTAACACGAGGTTCCACTGTAAACGGACTTGAAGGACATAGCACTTAACCCTTTAATTTATCTACTACTAAAATCAATCCCAATTGAGTATCCTTTTTTTCAAGTTAAAACAAAGAGATGTTGTTTATTAATGTTGTTTGCTACTCACTTTTCTTACAAGGTAACTCAAACTGACTCATATTAAAACCAATTAGAAACAACAATAAAAACCTAAAAACACAACAATTTGAATAAGACTCAAAACACAAAGAAGGCAGGACTTTAAGTCTCATCCCTAAAGAAGCTAATATATACCATTCAAATTAAAGGGCCAGAAGCCCAGGAAAAAATGAAACGTCTTTGCCTTTTCCAGCCAGCTCATTTCCAGAACATTTTCCATCCTTCCTCTGTAATTTGTCTGAAAGGAACATGTATACTTTTAAAATAATTTGTCTTGACAAAATATTTGGCTCCAGTTGGAATACCAGAGCTCCTAAGGCTACAGTCATCAACCACTTTACCCAGGAACATACCTTCTTCCATATAGAGCTAGTTGGGATTAAGTGACTTAAGAATAGCATCCCAACAAGTTTTTCAATATCAGCAAGCATCCCTAGCCATATTCTCAAGTTTGCTTTATAAAAAGATACTTCTACTTATTTTCTTATGGTGGCCCCTAGTTTGTATGGATTTGGCCAATATACATTTTTCTTTGGAACACATGAAAATAAACCAAAATACTTCTTTGTAAGAATTTTGGGTGAGCAAGAAAATACGTGATAGAGAAAATAAGTACCTGAAATTCTTACAAAGAAGTATTTTGGTTATTCTCATGTGTTCCAAAGAAAAATGTTGCTAGTACAGAAGTAGTTCAGATCTGCTCTCAAAATGGACTCAGTTAGAATTGGATTCTTTCATACAAATATTTCTATTGCCATATGATGATTAAAATCACTCAGTAAGCCAATCCAGTTTTTCCTGTAATGGAATACCTTTTTTAGCCCAGGAATTCTTACACCACATGTATGGATACAGAATGTAGTATTTAACACAACACGTCACTAGTGGCTGGGTAAATACATAACATAAGGCTCAAATGATGTAAAGAGCATGAGACATAATTAATGCTTTTGCAAGGCACTGAGTACTAATCAAGTTGTGTTTGTTGTCTAGCGTTGATCCTTCTGTTGTAAACATATCAGATGAAATGGCCAAAACTGCACAGTGGAAGGCTCTTTCCATGAACACAGAGAATGCCAAAGTAACAAGATCTAACTTGAGGTAGCTGAAAACTACTCACCTTTCTGATTATGCTTTGATTTTGTTGAGCTGTGGAAGTAATTTTGATTGGTATTTATATCTATATCCCTGAATGCCCAAATAAGAGTTTATATCACACATCTGACCTGTGAAACAATGGAAAAGTTTATGAGACCTAGGAAAGAAAAGGACTAGTTTCTAAACTTGGAAGTCTGGGATCCCAAGAACAGTGAAACTAGTGTCATGAGTTGGAGATGCCCATAGAATTTCCTTCAATAACAGCCTACCATTCTGCAAAACAAATGTGCTTTAGAAGTGAGGGTATCTTTTTAAAAGCCCAGTTTGCTTACATGTTATGAGGGTCATTGTCAAAGAAAAATATATATAATGGATTAGCATAAGGCTCTTGATTAAACTGGGGTTGTTTTTTTGGATAATGGACAGAAGATGATATCCAGTATTTCCCCTCTAGTGGTAGAAGGCATCTATCAGCAAAATGACTGAGAGAGGCAGTTTTTGACATTTATTCTCCCTCCACTCACAGCCCCCAATCAAAAGTTGATCCAGGAAGACCTACTGGAAGGGAAGTGTTGGATATCACCCAAAGCACATTTTCTGTGTATTATAGTGATTTAGATATGGGGTGGCTCTTTTAAAAATATTTAATCTGTAGCATAATGGACCAAAGAATGGCATGCATAGCTGTTTCATATTGTTTCTACTCATTGTGGAACTTTAATTTGGAATAAAGGGTAGAAAAGACACAAAGCATGACACCCTTCCCCCCCATTCGGCTACAGATGCACATACACAAACACAAATTTCACAAAAGCTTGCTTGCTACTAGGAATTTCAAATATTCTTAAGTCCTGTAGCTGCACACTTGAGATCATGAATGTTGAGGCTGGTTGCAAGAACTCATTATTTATTTAATTTTTATACTACCTTCATCCAAAGTTCTCTGGGCAGTTTACAGCATAAAAATAAAACATTTAAACAAAACAAAACAACAAAACCTTTGTGCTAACCATAGTTAAGAACCCACTTCATAGTCTGAGCTTCTTGACATATGCCAGGCTGACTATAGGTCTGAGATGCTTGTCTGCTCAGAATTCAGCTTCATGTTTCCATGATGAAGCAGCCTCTTGCACTGGCACAATGGCCCTGTGATTTGTCAATGTCCTGTGAATTCCCATATAATAGGAACTTAGAATTATTAGGTGGGTTCAGGTTCAGGCTGCATCTGAATCCAGACTAAATGCATGTTGCCTAGTCTGTCACTGACCTTACATGGCAGTCTTACATGTCTACCCAAAAATAAGCACCAAAGTATTAAGTGGATATAGAATTGCAGCCTTAAAGTTGAATAATTAGTGGTGGTTTATTGCAATTATATTGAATACACATGCATCTATAGGAAGAAAAGCTGAAAATGGCTTAAATGTTTAGCGAAAACAGCATTCAAGCCATAAACCCTAAGAGAATAATCTTGAATCCATGTTAAACTTCTCTGATGTGCTTCATGTGCTTGAAATGTGTTAACTTGAGTGTGTGTATGTGCATGTTCATAATAAAAAATAATATGTGATACATGAAATACAGATGCTATTTGATAAAATTTGAGTGTGTTATATATTCTTTGGCTTGTCTAACCTTGTGAATTGTTCTTAACAGCTCTGAAAAAGAAGAGTGTGTGAAAATAGACATGGAAAATACTCCTGAAACAAAGTATGTAGATGCTGAAACCTCATTATAGAAGTGAACAAGGGTATATATTATTTTATAGGATATACTGTAAAGGGTGACTTCACATCTTCTTTCAAGTACTGAAATTCGAGTGATATGGATACTGTATGCACAGCAACAAGACTTTCAGACAAGATAGAAGTGATGTCCGCTCTGGAAATATTTATTTTTAGTGGAATGTTTTTCATTTTTTTAAATAGGAAAATTAAAAATTCTTTTTAGTTATCAGTACATGCATTGCATGTCAGATCATCTTTAATTGTGAAGTATTGGTTGCATTGTTTATAACTTTCTAGTATGTAGTAGTTTTTATAATTTATTGCAGTACACGTCACGTTTTCAGGCAATTACTGTTTGGGTGTTTGCAAAATGTTATAAATGTCAGTCTCCCTAGGAAAAAAAATCCCAATGTGCCCTTTCATAAATGACTTTATTTTCAGGCCATTCTTACTTCATGTTGCTGTTTTATGGGGATCTAAATGGATATCTGTGAGAATGATTTATTAGTCCTAAATTAATATAACACTAAACACAGTGTTGTTTCCTTTCCCTTGTTCCTGTAAGTCATGGATACCACAGTACCTCTTCATACTACATATTTTGTGTACAGATTCTTTTGCCTCCACTGAAGTTAATGAGGCATTGAAATTATACAGGGCCTGTGGATTTGAATACACACGTAGGCTCCAAATTAAGGTTCCTGATTTAAAATGTAAGCTTAACAGACTTTGATTAGCCAATGAGTTTGTTTCCTTTTCCTGCATGTGCATAATATTAATTGATCTCTGAAAATACATTCAGAGTGGTGAGAGCAGGGGATCCCAATGCAAACATTTTGCTGATCCAGGAGAGGGTTTGCACAGGAATCTTGCTTTTAAACAAAGGGCTTTCAAACAGCCCCACACAGACACAGAGCAGGTGGAGGGAGTGTGCCTCACAGAGGATGGGAGACAGAGCAAAAGGCTAGCAATCATGGAGCCAATGCTGACTTAATCAATAGAACTCAGTATCTAAATGCTATTACTTGGAAGGCTTGGATCCAGAGATTTCTTGTGTGAGTGGAAAAAAACACTTCCACTTGTGAAAGGCAACCCTGCTGAATTTCTTCCATTTCCTCATCCAGCTGCTGCCCCCATACCCCATTTTGCATTCTAGAGGGTCCTACTGGCCCTTAGGAGATGCTTTGGGGAACCACAGGGCCTACAGCAGGGGGAAGGAGCCAGGAGAGCCCTGTTGCATGAACAGAGTTCTGTTTGAGCATTTCAAGATCCACACAATATGTTTGAAACTACAGCTTGTTTATAAGATATTAGGCTATGCATAGAAGTAAGTTGCATTGACGTCAATGGTGCTTAATTTTTAAGGCAGTGAATCTGGGTCCAAAGCTGTGCATGCAGAGCTTCTGCAATGGATAAGGCCTTCTCTTATGTGGAGGATGTGCATATGAAATTAAATCCTATATCAAGGAAAGATCCTGTGTATGCTGGATCTTCATGGTACCTATCTGAAAATCCCACACATATGGAGAAGGCCCCTAAACTGGAGCCACTGTGTTTAGCATCAAGGTGTGAGGATTGCGTAATACATTAATCTCTATGCATTTGAAGGAATGGAGCAACTTTTATGTGAAGTTAAAATTAAAAGGCAAATTAAACATGTAAGGTCTTCAATTTTAAAAGCACATTGCTTTATTATCTCCTCTTACTGAAGTCAGTTGTATAAATTGCTAGCCACACCGGAACAGGGATGGGGGGGACGGACTCTGACCCCACCTGTCATGGTTGGACTCCAATTCTCATCATCCACAGCAAATATGGCCAGTAGTCAGGGATGATGGAAGTTGTAGTTCAAATCATCTGGAGGTCCACAGGCTCCCCATCCCTGCACCAGAATATTAATGCTCATTTCTTTCTGTGGCAGAATTAAGCATTTGTGTATATCTGTCCTGATGAAATACACAGGACTTAAGGCTTGAAATGCAGCTGGATAGTATCTGTTTGCCAGCATGGACTTCCGTCATCTTGCCCAATGGTGAAACTCACAGTAACCAATTCTGCTTCTAAAGGTGAAATGGCAGCAACTGGTGAAGCCATTCATTGGTAGGAATCACCACCGTGGAGCAATTAAATAGGTCTTTAAAGACCCCTATTGTAAGTGGTAGTTGATGTAAACGTAAACCGTGTAGTTACTGGCTGGTTAGGAGCTTCAAGTCCATATGGACCTCTCATGCTAGCAGAGATTCTCAGTGGAGCCCGTCATCACTGCTACCTCCCAGAAGCTTCCCATTAAGAACGTGTTTTCTTTTCCCTCCTTGATTGCCTGGCAGCATGCAATTCCTGTTAGCAAACTGCCTCGCCACTTGTTACCGAAGAATGCTGTTCGTATGAAAACCTAAGTTCCGCAAACCTTGCAAAGAAGTCTAGTTGTTGACATTGCTCACAATTGCAACAGAAGCTGCATAACTTAAGGTTGCGCTTATTTTCCGTCAATAATGAATATTTGCGCCTCTCTTTGTGCTGTCAAAAGAATTGGTGCGTGTCTCCCACAGAACTTTTCACTGGGAATATGGCAAGAAGTGCACGTTGGATCTTGAAAAGTAACGGTGCACCCGGTGGAACATTTTACTTTTCTGAAGAGGAAGTTCATGTACCGTGCTGTCAACTGCTTTTGAAATAGTGGGGTGTTTCAAAAGCCGTTTTCAGGGCAGAACCAGAGGAGTGAACAAGTCCTACAGCATAAAAGCAGATTGTGGGGCTCACCAAAAGCAACTGTGCTCAGTGACCTGAAACAATTGAGAGCAAGTAATGGTAACAGAAACCTATGGAATTGACACTTAAGATTTACTTGAACAGTGGCATTTCCTTTTATTGTTGTTTTTTAAAAATGCTGCTAAATGTATTCACAGTTTGAAGAAAAAGTTAACCTTATTAAATCAACATGTAGGGATATGGGTCATCATTAAACAGAAGAGCTGATGCCTCAGCACCATCAAATTAGCTTTTCAGTACTGCTTATCTTTGATATTGGTAAGAGTATAACTATAATGTTCATTCCTCGATGTTCACGTAGCTTGTGCCTTAGCCTTCTTCAGGAAATATGCACTTTTTCTTTATTTGAAAATCATGACCACCTGTCACTTACCCCATCTCTTTCACAAAAGGTGTGTTCAACGTCTTCAACAATCACGTTTGAAAACAATGTGTTCTATTTGGTACAGTAAAAAACCACAACCAATCATGCCTGTAGCTTTCAGAGTTATTCACACTCGTCTTCCATTACTGAAAAATTCTGTATTCAGAGCTGTGGGTAGTAATTTGCAAAGATCCAAACAGATTGTCTTGAATTTTAACCCTTTGTTTTCTAAGCCTATAATTCCATAATGCTGAACAGTTCATATCAACTTTTCAGTGCCAAAGGGTTAATAATTTTGGTAACTTAAGCAAAGATCTGAAAACTACTTAGAATCACAATATTTATTTTATTTTAATTATGTAAAAATATTATACAGTGCCAGGCATAACCATGACTTGCAATGTAGTTTGCATTGATTGTTTCGATGTTGTTTGTTAATGTTACCTTACACATTTGATAGCATATTAAGTCCTGATGACATGCTGAGAATTCCAGTGGTAAAATCTAGGTGATTTACTGCTCATTATACTGTATAAACATTATTTCCTTCTCCATAATTAAAAAAAGTATAGTATTAAAGTAAGACAGTGAAGGACAGAGCTTTTACTGTACGTAGATAATAAATGTTGCCTTAAAAGGTGTAAATGAGTAAACTTTACTGTGCACTGATTCACCTTAGGGTGGAGCCTAATTTAAAGCCAGTATATTTCCATTAAACCAGTAGACTAAATAGCTGAGCACTTTTTTTAGATACCTTGGTACTGGCATCTTCTGTAAAGAATCTTAGTGTCACAATAGAATCTAAACAACCCGGTGTTTTTGGTTTGTGTATGAACTTGTAAAACTCTGTTCTAGATATGCACAAACAACTCATTATCCTTAGTTTGCAATGTTCCATGCTGCAAACTGTGTTTAAGGCAGGTTATTCCAGATTATCAAGATAATCAACAAAAATGTGCAAGATAGTGTACAAAGCATGTCAGTCATTTAGCATCCAACAGAACGTTTCTCCTCCCCCCCCCAACACATTTATCTCTATGTACAGTAGTCTTGTAAAATGTGCCCATTGTAAAAGTAAGTTCCAAATGTAAAAATGTCACGGATAGATGAAATGCAAAACCAAAATGCACTGGTATGCATTGTTTAAAGGGGTTATGTATTATACATATGTTTTATACATTGTGTTTGAAGTTACCAGTTCAGAGTTTGTAGATCATTAGCACAACATTTTGAATGTATTTTGCTTTTGCTTTTCTTAAGTTTGGTCAGTAATTTAATGTTTTTTAGAATGATTGATTATAGGTGCCATCCATTACCTAATACAGTACAAATGTTGTGAAGAACCATTTATTTTAGTGAATGTACAGGCACATAGTTGTGTGTCAATATATACTCGTATTCTGAATACAAAATATTGTCTTGTGATTTTACTACTTGCAGTTTTTTTATTTTAAAACCTTTTAGTAAATTTGTCAATTATAGGAAAATGGTTGCAATTGGTGTGAAAATAAAGTTTTTCATATTTAGTACATATTGTCACTATTTGGCAGTCTTGGAGTAACTTATTTAATGCCAGGTTTTTATAACGCAATTTATTAGTCAGGAGACGAATTCCTTTGTAACATTTCCCATTTGTTATTGATGCTTTGTTTTGTAAGTGTGTCTTCCAGTGTTCAGAGCTGAACAAAAACATTTACTTTGATTTGCAGTGTGATTCCACACTTTATTCCAGTTTTTATGACAGTTTTCTAATTGCATATAACATTTCCTTTTATAATAAAATCCAAAGCAAGTTAACACTGTTCCAAATGTAGAAACAATATTTTATTAATTTATATAATGCCTACAAAAAATTCTCCAACATGTACTGTGAAAAATCCAGCCTTTATAATTTGTTTAATGAATGTTGCGAAAACTATTTTTTGTAATGTTTCAAAAAGTTGACAAAAAGCAATAAAATGCCACTGAATTTAACGTTTTCGGTTAATTTTTAATCACATGTTGTTTGTTATGCAGGGTTAATGTTACTGATATAATACATGAAAGCTCTTTGGTGCTCTAACTTTTATCTAGCTAGTCTAGTTTAGAGTGAAGTTCTTGCCATGTGTTTAAGAACTGCACAACCAGCAAGTAAGAGCTGTGAGTCTACAAAACGATGCTACAAATCGTAGCAATGTATAATGCTGCAATATGTATCTTTTGGATTGAAGTTGTGTTATATTATTAGACGGTCAAAATCCTATCACTGTGGTGGGCAGGGGTTGTCATGAATTGAAGACCAGTACAGTTCAAGGATCCCTAGAGTAGAGTATTTCTCATAGGAATGAATGGCAGCCATTGTAGGCTTGAGGTGGGTTAATCTGCCCCAGTGTTGACAGTTTTGTGGGTGATGGGGCAAGTTATGCTCTTCCCCTGCAATAACCTTTTTAGTTCTAACCTGTTTACTGTCATAAAACTCAGAGGAAGCCACTGAGAACTTGAGTTTTGTTTCTTAGTGACACTAGAAGGCAGATTTACCTTTACTGGTAACAGAAAAAGACGTTTACTGGAATGGTATTTATTTCACAAGGTATGCTGAAATGTACACTCCTATATTACACACCTCATTCATCCTCCTATATTTGCAAAAGAAAGAAAAATGAAGAGGAGAAAAATACATATTTTCTATTTTGTCCTGTGTCTATTGGATTGAGGTAAGTGGGAAGAAACAGCTTCCTTCCTACATCTGCCCTACAAATACTCAGATTTTAAAGAACTGCATGGGACAAGGTGATGCTGTTCTTCCCTTCTATCTTGCCCTGAATTCCAGTCAATCCTTTGCCTTATTTGTAACTGGCAACCAAATAATTTTGTTGGCATACAAAAGTATGTCAGCACTTGAGAGTGAAGCCATAGCAGTATGCACAGATTTTTCCCACTAAGAGGAGACAAGGTTAGTACAGTAATTGGGCTGTACAGAATGTTAAAAGGGAAACAGGGAATATAAAATTTTAAAAGAGAAATAAATAAAAACTACAGTGTAAAGGGTCAGAAAGAGATGCTTGATCAGAGTTGAGCAGTGGTCTAGAGATTCGCAATATAATTCTGGATAAATATTAGATATTGCAGCTTTACCCATATTGTATGTTTTTGCTCTTTCTGTGGTAAGATTTGGTTCTGTTCAGTCTTGCCAATTCAGTTCTGTAGGTCTATTGAAATGGAGCAAGAGAAACAGAGCCAGCCCAATACAATTGGCACTTGAGATGAATCACAAAATAGTGCACCAAGGAATAAGAGGTGAGCGAAGATCTACATCAGGAACAAGGATGAGAGGAGATCAGCAGCACCACCTATTTGCCAAGAGGCCGCTGTAGAGGTGGCACTGGCCTCCAAGGAGCACATTGCAGCAGCAGGCAATGCATTCAGCGGTGGGCAGATCTGCCCCTGTGGTACCTGCTGCCCGAGGCAGTTATGTCACCTTGCCTCATGGGTGGACTGGCCCCGAAGAGAAATCTTATGGCTCTGTTGCTTTGGAGCTGTCCTGCACTTCTATAGAAACATCGTATGTTCAATTCATTTACTTGGAGCCCTTCTTGTGCCCAAAAGGCTCCCCGGGCGCCTTCAACTTCAAAATAAAATAAAAAGGGCAGTCCCATTTAAAAGGTACGACACAAAAGGAGAAAATGCCCCCAACTGCAACAAAGCAGCATAATGGGATCTGTTGGGGAGTGGATGGTATGAAGTGCCGTAGAATCCTAGAATTTGGTAGAGTTGGAAGGGATCCTGGGGATCATCTAGTCTAACCCCCTGCAATGCAGGAATCTCATCTATGAGATTCTGCATAGTTTCACATCTTGCTTAGACAGAATAGCTAATTGGAAACCATACCATAGTTAAAGCATAATCTTTGGAAGCTGGTCATTCAGAAGGCGAGATTTCCTACACGTATTCCAAAGCATCTTCTTTACAGATCCACAATATGTTTGAGAGCTAATCACAGGCCCCTTAACTTGGTTTTTTCAACGATTTGGAGCAAATAAAATTTCAGTATATATGTACCATGTATGAGTGTCGTCGCTGCTGTGTTCTATGAATTCATTTCCCCCTCTCTTCCAAATCAGTGCATCTGATTTGCTACATAAGTTAGGTTAGCCCTATATTTTTTTATTGCGGTCATTAATTACAATAAAAAAAATATTATCTTAAGACCTTTTGGAGAGGACTGGAAGTGAAGCAGCAGTCTCTACACGCTCAATAATAATACGTAATGGAATTACAACCTCCGACTCTGGATTGGGTCGTTTTCCAAACAAAATCGCAAGCGACGTGGCGCTAGCTTACTATTCCCACTCCACCTTTTGGGTGAATACGGTAATCTTTCCCCTTCTGCCCGCTTCCGGGTACTTGCAGAAGGAGGGCCGCCATTAGCCAATCAGAAAAAGGCTCCTGCAAGGCCGCTCGGTGACGTCACCGCGCCAAGCCGCGCCTACTGAGAATTTAGCGCGAGAGTCGTTTCTTTCCACTACGGCGAGCGGGGCTGGGAGCCCCGAGCGGCTTCTCCCGTTCCTATGGCAACAGCGGCGGCGGCGTTACCCGTCTCCCCTGGAGCGCCGCCGCCTTCGCAGCGGCTCGCCATTGGTCGAAGGAATCGATCGTTTAGAAGGAGGCGCGCTTTCATTGGCTGGTACGTTTGTCAGTTGGCTCGCTCAGCGGGGCGGGGGGGTTTGGTCTTTTTTAGCTCGGATTAAAAAATAGTAATAATAATAAGAAGAATCCTAAAAAATAATAACGGAGAGGTGCGGTGGATCTGCAAACTGGGGAGGGGCAGAGAGATCGGGAATCCAGTGTCGCCCTTCCCTGTGCGAAGTGAGTAGAGCGAGGAAGGGGATGCTTGGGAGGAACGAAGGAAACAGCGTTTTGTGGAGTTTCCCATCCCATAATTTATGATTGGATGGGAATTCCCAGCGGACCCCGGGGAGCAGGCCGGGGAGAGCCACTAGGATCTCTTTTCGGTGTTAGATTTAGCTTTGGAACATATGCAGTGCGTGGTTTGTTCTCTCTCAGATTTAGCTTTGAAACACTATCATCATCATCATCATTATTATTATTATTTTGTGCCTTTTATAGAAAAAAGGTGTTGGTATACACCATGAAGTTGTTACAGTAAGTGTCACATTTATAACATTTTTTTTTGAGGGGGGAGTGCCAGTATTGTGTAGTCTTGAGTACCCCCAGAAAAAAGCACTTCTTTTTAAATTTGTACACCATAGTATCTTATAGGTGTCAGTACATTTATCAAGGCTTTTGAGGAAGAGGTGTCAGCACTTCCTTAATCTTTTTTTTTTAAGAAAACTTTTTATCGTTTTGGAATATACAAACAAATATGGAAACCAGTCATCAATAATAGGTGGTTGCTAACAGGCCATTCAGCTTTTTAGTTCCTGCTCCCCCACCCCCCAGCCATCGAAATGGGAATCCAAAGAAATTAGACTCTGTGCATATTTTGACCATGATCTCTGAAAGCTTCATTCCACTCAACTTTGCGTTTAAGTTCTTGAACAACAGTTCCCCTTTCCCCTTGACGTGCACATGCTGTGTGGCAAACCATATTTGAAAGTGAGAAGTATCTCAAAAGCGATTGGAGATATGGCATGTAGATTTGTGGTTAAAAACAACGAAGGTGAAGAATCCCACTTCGTAAGCAGGAGCTTTTAAGAGAAGCTAAAACAGCTCTTTCATACCTTCCAAGTGTCCCTATTTTCCAGGGACAGTCCCAGATTTACAGAAGCCATCCTGGTTTCTGATTTGATCCTGGAATGTCCTGCTTTTCCTTAGGACGTTCCTATTTTCATTAGAGAAATGTTGGAGGTTATGGAGTTATGCAACCCCCGAGCCATAGAAGTCATCTGAAGGCAGCCCTGAATAGTTTAATCTTTAATTATGATTTTAATCTTTTATTATGATTTTATATATGTTGGAAGCTGCCCAGAGTGGTGGGGGCAACCCAGTCAGATGGGTGGGGTATTAATAATATTAATGGAATAGGATGTTCCTATTTTCATTGGAGAAATGTTGAAGGGTATGCTCTTTTGATTTCTTTAATCCCTGGGCCTATTATGTATTCTTTGTTTTCTTTCCTGTAGACATCTCTTTCTCCAGTTACTCAGGTCATCTACTGGTATTGTCCTTCACTTGTCAAGTGAAAAAACAACATTTTTACATTTGTTTTCTCTTCAGAGGCATGATGTGTTAATCCTGATGCCTTGATGTTATACAATGCCTGATCAACACAAGAAAGTGAAGACCACAGACAAGGCAACTGATACCAAACTTCAAGGGTACTGTGCTTTTCGCTAAATGTCAGCAGTGACTCTCTGGAATCTGCACCAGCTGCCAGACAGAATAGTTTAATCTGAATCGCTCTGTGTACATGGTGACTGTTACTCTGTTACCTTTTCACTTTGGCAGAAACAATTGGTGGTTAAGAAGACTACACAAATTGTGGGTGTGTAGAGCAGACCGCTGAGGCAATATTGTGGGAATGCTTGATACAATGCCATAGAAATATAAACGTCAATATTATTTCATTTAGATTACTTACTGATGAAATAAGGTAGTGTAATGTGTTGTTAATAAGCATATAATTTATGTTTTCTCCTAGGGATTACTCAGACCTTAAAAGGCTTCTGGCACTACTAAATGTCCAGTCAAGCAAACAACAGGTATTTTTCATTAGCCATTTTTGTAATGGCAGGCTGTAATTATTAATTTATTCATTATTATTGAAATTAATTTGATTTTGGAAATACTCAAAATTAATATTCAGATATTCAGAATTATTTTTTGAACAGTAGCTTTCAAGCTCTGCCTAAATATGAGGATGGGAGGATCCTTTTTAGGGATGGATGGAGTTGAAAAGAAGGAACCCATTGCATATGGGTTTTCTTTTGTTTCTTCCCAGGGAATTCTGGGAATTGTAGCTCTGAGAGAGCAATAGGGGTTCCTAATACCTCTCAGCACCTTTAACGAACTACATTTCCCAGGATTCTGGGGGCATGATACTGTTTTAAATGTATAGTGTAGATGGGATTTGTGAGTTGAGGTAGGTCATGCCAATAGTAAAAGTATTTCTTTAAGAAACTGCCTGTGCCCTTTAAATAAGTCTTTTTTCTCTGGTACTGTACCCTATTATGGAGAGCTGTCATCAACAACTCCTCTCAGCCCTCACCATTGGCCGTGCTTTCTGGGGTTGAGGGGAGATGGAGTCTAGTAACATCTAGAGGGCCACAGGTTCTTCATCCCTTCTGTATACATAAACAACTTATTCTCAGGAGGCAGTGCTCTCATTCCCTGCTCTTAATAAGCTCACTTTGTTCTCTGTCTACTTCTGCAGAGCAGGTGCTTTCTATTCCAGGAAGGCTATTTGAGGAGAGATCTCTCCTCAGTTTTCGGTCCAGGTTTTTAAAATTTCCCTGAAAAGTATAGATGCAAGCTTCCTGCTTCTTAGAGAGCATTCAGCAAGGCTAAGCAGCCATTGCTGTTCAGAACTTTCTGCATCATGTGCACCCAACTGCCATTTTGAGAATGCTTGCTATGTTTTCATTCCTTTCCCCCCTGCATACTCCAGCTGCAACTTTTCAAGATCTGTGTGCAGCTATGGAGAAGAGACAGCCTAGGGCGCTTTGAAATCTGCTGTATATATTGGATTATTATTTTTAAAAATTATCTCCTTGTTGTCTGAATTCAAAGGTTAAATTGCCCGAGGTCCCAGTAACAATCACATATTTTCCTCTGACCCAGCTAAACACTTTATATCATTTGCCTCATAGTAAATCTCCTTTGCATTTACAGCTGCCAGCCCTTAACTTTGAAAGTTCTAATAATAGCATGACCAAGTCTGAGCAATACTCCAGCAACCCTTGTGGAGAGAGATGTAGAGGTCAATGGCAAGAATCGACTGAAGCTGTTGAACTCGAACACTTTAGGTACCGTGCAGAAAAGAAAATGAATGTTTATTGTATTTCTCTGGATCCAATTCAAATCCTTTTATGCTATATATATAATCTTTACTATTGAGTGTGCTCTAGTGTCATTGAAATTCTATTCAATATTGAACCAGAGCAGATTCCAACCTATAGTTATCAGAGTAAAAACTTAAACACGTTGCAGGATTCCCAGAAAATAGACCAGAGGCGATTATATTTCATCCAGCAGAGCTTTACTGCTACTGAAGGCAAATGAGCATAATGGTCACAAATCCAATTCATTTAGGATCGGCACTGTCCATAAGAAATCCAGTTGCAGCAGACTTAACTTAAACTTACAATAACTTATAACAAGACTAAACCTTAGCACTAAGCATACAGAACGCCACACCAGACGGAAAAGAAAGAGAAAGTGAAAACCAGGCTCCATCTGGCCTTACTTTTATAGTCAGCATAACCTTGACAGAAAGAGATAACAGAACCAGTTCAAAAAAGCTGTACTTAGCTTCTCTGAAGGTATAACCCAAACATCATTAAGTTTCTTTCACACAGAGAAGCTTCCAGAAGCTTCTTGAATTAAGTAGAATAGGAAAGATCTCTACACATCAGATCAATGCTTTCTGCACTAAGAAATGCAAACTGACATCTAGAACCTCATGGGATAATAGTAAATAATTTCGATCATATGTGACTTTAAGACATACTGTATTATTAACCTCTGACAGGGCTGTCTTAACTGTGGCTCAGATGTAAGTCCTATTGAATTTGAGGTATTGGGGGATAAGATGGCAGCTTCATTGTTGCCTTGCATACAGGAGGCAATTTAGGATGTTTGCGGTCATCCTGAACTTCAGCTTTGCATGTAACACTGTAGACAGGAGTTTCAGAAGCCTCTTCTGATGGGAACCTAGGCCCTACCAGCACAATGCTAGTATGCTAGTATGCCACCCGGGAAAGATGCCCTTTCAGGTTTGTCTCTTCAAGATGAACTTGGCTGAATCTTGCACACTCCCCTCCTAGGATAATTGACACCAGTCATGAATGGAATGAGTTCTTGTGGACCACTTTGCCATATTTATATGGAAGAGCAGCATACAAGTTGAGATAATAAATTAAGACAGCAGTGGCAGTTGTAACATTCAGGGGAGAGGTAGGGACTGTTAGAATTCCTGCTCCGTGATTGCAGTCATGGGATTGTTGTCTTTCACATGACGGTGTATGTTTTGACTCCACAGAGTTGGAAGTGACGGACACAGGATGTTTGTGTTACTGTGTTCCGTGAAGTGGGACTATTGTCCTTTGTTTTTTCGCTTTGCTGTCTGATGCTAGAGAGAGAGGGAACCATGTTGCAGTGCTCTGTGTGTGTTTATATGTAAATAAAGTAGGTTAGCCAAAATGCTGAGTTGCTGAGGTCTGTTACGCAAACTGCGAAGACTCTGCGGATCCCTAAGTGTGCCGATGTCTGTTGGCATCGGTCGCTGTGATGTTCGGGCAGAAGAAAGCTCTTGAAGCTCCCGAACGATCGACCAGGAGGGCGGGAACATGCCAGTCGGGCATGTGTCTCTGCCAGGGTTCTACTCAAGTGTAGGACAAACTCCTGACAGGGACTTGTCCTATTATTTCCCCTGAATGCTGACCAGTGAGTCCAAGCAGGAGCAGGAATCCAGTTTGGAGTACATTGATTGTAACCTAGTAATTTTTGTGGTCATTTTCATTAAGTCACTGTAGTCAAAATTGCATTTCCTGCACAGACAACAATCTCTTAGCATCCCATCACTGCGAGCAAAAGCATTTGTGCCTTGTGCAATGCCCATTTGCCTTTTTCTCCCCTTAGTATGAATTACAAGAATGAGAGGAAATTTAGTCAACATCCACAGCACAAGCTGTTTCAAGATATCTTCACAGCTTTGGTAAAGAACCGGCTGATTTGCAGGTAAGAAAGATCAACTATGTCTTTACCTTTGGAATAAGTATCAAAGCACCCAGCGGGATCAGAAAGGCCCCTCTTTGTGTGGTTGAGTTTCCCTTTGGAACAGGGACTGCCGCTCTTTCAAAATATTAGACTTCCCTGGTGGTAGTTGACCTTAACACTGGAAGTCTATTGACTTTCATTAAAAGAAATAGCATTAGTTTGGGGTGTTCCGGTGAAAAGGTGGCAGCTTGAAATTCTACAATCGGTCTAAAATCAGGAGGGAAAAGGTGGACTAGATAAGCAGTTCTGCTATCTTTCTAAGTTGTAGCCTTTTGAAATACTTCTAACACGGCTTTCACTAAAATCTGAATTGCTGTTTTGATGATGGCTTATTTCCTGTTCTGGGACTTTTCAACCCAGCGACGCCAAGAACTGTAAGATCGCCAGCACAGTTCTAACCTTGTCTATTCAGTAGTAAGTCCCACTGAATTCATTTACTCACAGGCAGATGGGTATATAGTTGCTGCCTAGGGTTGCTCTCCTAACCTTGTTTACTTGAAAATAAGTCCCATGGAATCCAGTGGGACTTAATTCTGAATGGACATGGTTAGGATTTCACCGTAAGTTGTTACTGTTTGTAGATATTTGATAGCAGGACTTCATTTTTACAGTAATGGAGAGTGGATATTTCATTGTTTGACTGCAACTGTGTGGCAAACTGCAAAATATTTTAATAATCAGATATTTGCTTTCTGAAAGAGAACAGTATAGTTAACAATAAAGTATTTTACCAGCTACTTATTCAGTGCAGGGAAACTGTAACACATGACAGTTATTTTATGACATCTTCTGTTATTTTCTTATGTCACATTGCATATTTTATTGATACCCCTGTATCATTTTGAGGGTGTTATCATGAGTATGGTTGCCCAAGAGGACGTGGATGATGTTGACCAAGCTGCTGTATTAATAGCTCTGTGATGCCAGTAACATAAAAAGATTTGCAAGGAAACTACTTGTCTGTTTAATAATATGTAGCTGTTGTTGCTTAGAACTCTTGGCACTATACCCAGAGCAGAGTCTATGGTACAAGAAAGGGAAGGTGGTCTTATGTGAAGATACATCAGTAGGGTTGTCACATTCCCAAAAGTGAAAATCTGGACAAAGTTGTTCATCTTTTTTGGGGGGAGGGGGAGGAGAAATTGTTGAGCTTTTTGGGAACATCTCCCCCCAAAATACCGTATTTTTTTGCTCTATAAGACTCACTTTTTCCCTCCTAAAAAGTAAGGGGAAATGTGTGTGTGCGTCTTATGGAGTGAATGCAGGCTGCACAGCTATCCCAGAAGCCAGAACAGCAAGAGGGATCGCTGTTTTCGCTACACAGTGATCCCTCTTGCTGTTCTGGCTTCTGAGATTCAGAATTGTCTTGTTTTCCTCCTACAAAAACTAGGTGCGTCTTATGGTCTGGTGCGTCTTATAGAGCGAAAAATAGGGTACGTTTTTGGGCTGTTTGGGGAATTTAAAAGCATTTTTAGGATTGCCCTACTTTGCTATGCGTCCGGGTTTTCCTGGATATTTTGCCGCTTCAGCAAAATCCATTGGGGGAGCCTGATTCCCAGATGTGTCCAGGAAAACTCGGACGTATGGCAGCCCTACACATCAGTAGCTGAACTCTTGCCTGATTGTCTTGGTCTCCTTCGCCTGATTTGTATATGCATATTAACTGGATCCAGAGAACAGTCTTGGCCTGTCTCTGCTTCACCCTGCCTGCCTGCATTGCCCTGGTTTTGAAGTTGGAGTAATGTTTTTATTTTATGTATTTATTTAAATAGTTCTAAACCATGCTTCCATAGAAAAATAGAACAAGGTGGTGTGCAACGCAAAAACCTAACAGCGCAACAATGAGTTCTGTAAATATCAACAGCATATCAGCCAAAAATATAAAGTTTGCCAAAGATTGCCTGAACAGTGCTGTTTGTCAAAGAGGTCTAAAAGAAAGCAGGGATGACTCTCCCTGGACTTCTGTTAGCAATGAGTTCATCATGGCCTTCTATGTGAAAGGCTTAGACCCTCCTGAAGACCAGCTGGCTCTCAGCAGCAGTGGGGACCACCAAGGATGCTTCATCAATAGATCTTAGTGGTCAAGGTTGTGCATAAGGCATCAGGAAAGGTCCTTAAGATACTGTTTAGAACTTTGTGAATTAACAGCAGAACTTTGAATCTGGCTGGGTAGCATGTGGATAGCCATATGCTCACCCTGCTGTTGATTATTCTGGAGGAAATATTTTGCTCCATGGGCCCATCCATTAAGGTTCTTTCAATATTCCTCCAGGTGACCTGGCATTTCTTGTTTCCTTTTCCTGCCACCAGATCGAGGATAAGATAAACATCTGTGTATGCTTCATTTAAAATATATTTGAGGAAAATGCAAGCACTTTGTTTTTGAAACTGAAACGGGCCCCAGAGACAAATCTTTGAACTTCTACTCCAGAGAAATCTTCAGAGATTTCCTTTTCTTTTTTTACTCAACTGAACTTACGCATCAAAAACACCGTCTTGTGAAAGCCAATGCGTTCTGCTTCAAAGAAATGCCCTTGAAATTTGAGGTGTGAAGAACTTTTATCACTAACTACCGTATACAAAACAACTCTAAGACATGCCTCCCTAGTGTGTGACTAGCCCTGTGTCAGTCTGAGATACACAGTATTTTTCCTACAGATTCATACTGCACAGGTTACAGAAATGATGTAGCTTTAAATTTTTTAAAAAATCTTGAATTGAATGCAAATGCATTAAAGCTTACATTTATACTTCCTTAAGACTGATTTCATTGGTTTGCCTGTAACTCAGTCATACTCCGAGTAAACTCATTGAAATCAACGAAGCAGAATAACTTAGGTGCATTGATTTCAAGGGGCCTTTTTTGAGAATGGCTTAGCTGGATACAACTTTATCTTATACAACGTCAGGATTCAATTAATCGTGAAAGCAGTTCTGTGAACAAAAGTGGCTTTAAGCTTCATTAAATGGCAACTTGTCCCTGTGGGGCAACAAAGCTTATTAAACCCGGATGGTGTTCAGAAACAATCTGTGGTGCGGCATCTTGAGGGAGTGGCAGGAAGGGAGATCAGGCCGAAGGGGAAAAGCCCCAGTTCTTCTGTGCTTGCTTGAAGTATTTACATGAGTCTCATCAGCTCATTGAATGCTGCCTGTTGAATTAAAGGACACTTTTTAATGTAAATAAGTAACCCTGGGTGAGGTGTTGTTATGTACTAAGCTTGGATCCTAAAACAACAGGCAGGTAGGATCCTAGAATGCAACAACCTGATTGGCCTGCAGGAGCAGCCCAATCAACCCCAGGAGGAAGTTAATCAGCCTATTAGGTCCGGTAGGATCCTAGAATGCAACAACCTGATTGGCCTGCAGCAGCAGCCCAAATCAGGGCTCCAGGAGCGAAACATAATCAAACCAATCAGACGGTACTCATTGTGTAAATAATGTACATAAAGCCTGAGGGTAGGGGGGTGGGAATTCACTCACTGTTCCTATGAGTTGAAATAAAGAGCATGAAATTACTACTCGACTCTGAGTATATTTCAGGCGTGAGGGTTTTTTTTTTTTTAAGGTCTGCCATTACAAACATGACACAGTAGGTCAGGTTTGGGAAGCCATTTTTAAAGCCAGGGCCACATTTATTTTGGAGCCACCTGTTGAGGGCCACATGGCAGTGGTGTTATCACCAGAGGCAAAAGTGGGCAGAGCAATTAATGCAAATTTTACCTTTGTCAGTATGCTGGTTTCTCTGTCTTTTCTACACACACACACACCACACACACACACACGGAAGCAAGAGGCATTACTGAAGTTCATCCCACACAGTCAAAACACTCAGATGGTTTTCAAAGCAGGGCCAAGGACAGAGTATGGCTGGGGAAGGGCCTGGCGAGATTGTCAAAGGGCCTGATAGAGAGACTTGGAGGGCCACATTTGGCCTTTAGGCCTGAGGTCTCACACTGCTTCTATCAGCGGCGAAACTAGGCTAATAACCAGGGCAGAGACCCAGTTTGGCACCACGCTCCGTATTGTGCAATTTGCGTTCAGGCTGGGAGCCTCAATGGCGCCCCTCTGGAGGCTTCACCCCGGGGCAGAAAACTTGGCTAGCTGCCACCCCTCCTGTATCTTTGGCACTGCTTCAATAATGTACCATATTTGCTATTCTGGGTTTGATCCTGAACATCATATCACAATAAGAGCCCTGCTGGATCAGAAGGTCTGTCTAGTTCAGAATCCTGTCTCCTATAGTGGGAAGCTCAGAAGCATGTTAGGAAAGCAGTAGTTTTGCAAGCACTGAAGCCTACGGGCAACTGGCGTTCAGAGGTAAACTGGCCATTTGGCTGTTATGGCTAGTGGCTGCAAACAGACCTGTCCTGCCATGTGATCTAATCTGCTTTTCAAGTTATCTAAGTGGTGTGTGTTGGGGGGTGGGGGCAGCGTAACCCTATCGAGTGCCTGCAAATTCCATAAATAATTGTGCAAGGAAGTCTTCTTTGCTCTGCCCTGAATTTGTTGCCAATCAATTTTGCTGGTGATCTTGAAACACCCTGTTTCCTTCACAGCTTGTGTCAACTTTATGAGACTCCATCACAGCATCCCTCCAAAGTTAGCTCCCCAGAACATTTCAACATTTTTATCTCAAGGAGAAGGGTGCCCCCAGTTCCTCAACCATTTTTGTTCACCTCTTTCTGGACGTTTTCCATTTGTACAGTTTTCCTTGGAGATGGAGTACAATTTCCTCTGGAGATGCAGTTAGCCCAGTCTGTACATGGGAGCTGTAGTTGAGCAACCTATCTGTCCAAACAAGCATGGCCAGTGGCCAGGGAATGATGGGCGTTGGGGATTCAATAAACCACACGAGACGTAACCGGCTGTGTTCTTAGATAAATAAGGTATTACTATTCATAGTATCAAATTATAAATTTCAACGGAAGTAACTCAAAAAATCCACATGAAAGGTTACAGTTCCACAAAATCCTTACACAGAGTTTAGACAAGGATTTTTGAATATTGGCCTTGTTTCGCCGTCCTGGGCTTCATCAGTACTTAAAGCTCATATGTGATATTACAGCCACAGTGGATCTTATGGCATAATAGCAGCTACTATTAAGGGATTTTGTGGAACTGTAACAACCTTTCATGTGGATTTTTTGGACTTTACGAACAGACAGATGGAATAGACACCATTACACGGATGGACCTTATGCATGAACTGACTAAAGAATGATCTGACCCACTTTATGAGTTACTTCCGTTGAAATTTATAATTTGATACTATGAATACTATACCTTATTTATCTAAGAACACAGCCGGTTACGTCTTGTGTGTTTATTGAATATGCTTTACGTGACCAAATTTATAATTTGATACTATGAATAGTATACCTTATTTATCTAAGAACACAGCCGGTTATGTCTCGTGTGTTTATTGAGTATGCTTTACGTGACCATAGGTTTGTTTGTTGTTGTTTTGCGGGCGTTGTGATTCATCAAACTCTGAAAGACCAAAAGATCCCACGCCTGGTCTACACTGATTGGCAGTGCATCTCCACAATTTCAGACAGGGATGCTGAACCTCATACCTGCCACATGCAAAAGAGATGCTCTGACGCTGGACTATGGCTTTTATTCCTAACTGTTTTATCATTAACTGATTTTAAATCAGCACTTTTCTCCGAGTGTCAGAAATCAATCTGGAGCCCTGTTATTGGCCAAGAGGCAACTGATGGGAATGTGGAAAAGATCCGGTGGACATGGTGATTTTTTTGGTCCGCAGAGATTCCTCTAAATAACCCAGTTCTTGGGAGTCTACGTGCATCCATTGCAGCACAGCCTTTATTTTTATCATATTATTTTTAGCCTTTGGCTTTATTCCCAGCATGGAACGGACCTGCTGTGCTAATCAACCATAACTGTTTCAGCAAGGGGGGGAGGCGGTGAGAGAGAGAGCTGGATATATACACAAATTGTATGTGTTTAGATATGTATCCATTCATCCATATTGATATTCATCTGTAAAAAATGATAGTTTATTAGTTCATCTGGTATTACTGGAAAATAATCTGAATTAAAAATATATCTACAAATACAAGTGTCAAGTTTGTATACAGTCTGCTTTTACTTTCTGCTTACCTTGGCTCGTAATTTCAAAGTGTTGATGTTGAAACTGGGAAGGCACTGAAATACACACCCTCTGTTGAAATTATTGGAGCTGCACTGTAGTCTAAAGATTAGCATCGGAAACAAATTAGGTGTGCTAGATTCAAACTGAAATAGTTGAGGTTCAGATGACTAATTGTGCACTCCATAAAAATGCAATGTCTTGTCTGCCAATTGCCTGAATATAGAACCTTTATTTAGATTTTCAATCTTGTGTTTGCTTGCTGACGTAGCTTAATTGGACCAACTTCTTAATGCATTCTTTTTACCTGTTTGTTGCAGGGAGTGGGCTAACCGAGCATCATCTATCCACTTTCTGAGAGTTTTAATTTGCATAAGATTATTAATGAGAGACCAGTGCTATCAGGTTAGTTTGCCCATGGTCACCTCCTTGAAACATAAAATAGGAACATGATGCTAAAAGTGGCTGCTTAGATATTAGTGCAGCATTCATTTAGTAGGCTTGGTCAGCTGATGCTGTACTAACAACTTTGCAAACAACATTTGCCAAATATAATTAGCAACCCCCTATCTTAGAGCTTCTCCAGACTGGGTTTTGTGTTTTGTGTGGGTGTATCCTGCAACGTGCAGTTATAGTGCATTAATGATGGATTTGTACTGGACCGTCCACAAATCATTCCACCTTTTTAGCTGTTCTGCGGTGCTCCCCCAGTGTTATTGCATTATCGCCATCTGGAGGGGGGCGCTCTTGCAACAAAAGTAGGACAGAAAATAAACCGCAACATTTGTGGCCTAAAATGTTGCAGAATATCAGCAGGAAGTGACAGGACATGCACTGATTGGAGAGGAAGTGGTCTGCCTGCCCCAAAACCTTTTCAGGTGCAAACAGTATTGAAAGTGGAATTTGTGTATAACTATCCCAATACACAACCACACATCATCAAGAATGAACAATAAAAAGGGGGTCTGGAGGGGCCCTTTATAAACTTGCATGTCTGGCTTTGAGCTGCCAGTTGGGACGCGGGTGGCGCTGTGGCCTAAACCACTGAGCCTCTTGGGCTTGCCAATCAGAAGGTTGCTAGTTTGAATCCCCGTGATGAAGTGAGCTCCTGTTGCTCTGTCCCAGCTCCTGCCTACCTAGCAATTCAAAAGCACGCCAGTAAGAAGATAAATAGGTACCACTGTGGTGGGAAGGTAAACAGTTTTTCCGTGCGCTCTGGTTTCTGTCATGGTGTCCCATTGCACCAGAAGTGGTTTATTCATGCTGGCCACATGATCTGGAAAGCTGTCTGTGGACAAACGCCAGCTCCCTCGCCTGAAAGCGAGATGAGTGCCGCAACCACAGAGTCACCTTTGACTGGACTTAACCGTCCAGGGGTCCTTTACCTTTACCTTTTTTACCTGCTAGTTGACTTACTGAGGCACTGCAATCCTAGGCATACCATCTGCCATGCTGAATCCAGGGGACTTTGAATTTAACACTGGTAGTTGGTTGGGAGCAGGCTGCTAGGATCTTCTGGAAGTTTGACATACTGTACTGGCTTTGCTTTTTCCTTCCCTCTTAACTTAAACGTCCGAGTCCGTTCTAAGCCGAAACCGCTCTAACCATGAGCCGTGCTTTCGCCTCCCGCGCTGCTGCCGTGCTCCTGGCATGAACTTCCGCTCGCATCTCAGGGCAAAGTTCGCAACCGGAAGCATCTACTTCTGTAGCCCGAAGGGTTCGCAAGGAGACTGTACAGTGGTGCCTCGCAAGACGAAATTAATTCGTTCCACGAGTTTTGTCGTCTTGCGATTTTTTTTTTGTCTTGTGAAGCACGGGTCGGGAAAGTTTTGGAAAAGTTTTCAAAAATCACCAAAGTCTTTAAAAACCTCAAAAAAGGCTACCACACCGCGTTCTATGAGTATAATAATAATAATAATAATATTTATTATTTATACCCCGCCCATCTGGCTGGGCCTCCCCAGCCATTCTGGGCGGCTTCCATAAAAACCACAAATACAGTAAAAGTCAAGTCGCAACTGTATTAACGGTGTTAA